GTCGTCCTGGACACAGATCAAACTCCGGAAATGACAGTCATACGCGCACCGCTTACGCCCCTTCTCCACGTACCTTGGTCCGCAAGCAGGACGGGCCAGACACTGCACGGGCAGGGGAAAGGCAGGGCACTGAGCGGGACCAGGGAGGGACAGCCACAGCGCTGCAGCTCGGCAGCAGGCACACACCACTCCAGCAAACAAACTCAGACTCGGACCTCTCGACCTCACCCCAGGCCGGGCTGGCGGGAAGAGACGCCGCTGCTGGGGATGTGATGCTGTGCGCTGTGCGCCGCGACGGAGGCCCCGTGCGTGGTCAGCGGGGTCAGTGGGAGGGCACGGGGTGTGGGCCTCGGCGGCCACGGCGGCGGCCCCGCGGGCGGAGGGCGCGTCCTGCATGGCTCTGCACCGTGCGCAGCGTCCCTCAAGCTGGAGCCCATCGTGGTGTCGACGACCTCAGGCAGCAGGCACACTCTAGGTGCTTGTGCTTGGTGGTGCTGACCCCCGGGCACGGGTGGGTCTGTTGCAGGAAGACCCAGCTCCAGGCGATAGGCATTCGACTCCAGCCGATTGCAGTGCGGTGGCTTGCAAGGCTTGCAGACGGTCCCTGCCAGCCTCCCCCTCGGGCTAAAGCACTCTCACACGCTTGCGCGACACCTCCGCGAGAGCGACAGAGACGGCGCAGCGACCAAAAACGGTTCACTGATCCTAGATGCTCTCGGCCTTCACGCGCAGAGCTAGAGTGCCGTGGTGCGTGGGCGGCCGCGAGACGCACGAGGCGACGCGGTGCCGTTGCCGCTGCGGCGCGGCGTTTCGAAATCGCGCGCCACGGCCACGGCCCGGTCGCTGCCGGTCGCTGGGTGCCGCGCGAGGCGCGAGAGGGCGCTGCGAGCTTGTGGAACGGGCCCGCAGAGCACGTCTGCTGCTGCTGAGTAAACATCCATGTGGCAGTGAATTCGATCAAGTCTGCTATGGCAGTAATGGATTCCTCTATGTGACAAAATGGCAAACAAAACCCGTCGTATGCAAAGTGTACTTATTTCTCGTGTGTATTGTTTGAAAAAATAACGGTACTATATGTCAACCATCAACGAATATGCCAACAAAAGTGTCCAAAAAGGTCGCAGGGATGATAATAAGAAGTAGGAAGACAATACTAAAGGACGGAGTAATGACGGTGAGTTGTTGTTCTTTCTGGCCTCCTGCGTTGCTTTCATTAAGTTAGCACTTTACCTGGTTAGAGCTTTCTAGTGCGATGCAGTCCCTTGGCGTGGCACGAATTTTCCTAACCTAAGTTGTCGTGGTTGTGCGATAGGCGTTGTGTCTGCTTCCATGTTGACCAGAAGCCTATCGGCTGCAGTGTCCTTATCACTCTTAACTTGGCTTTATTTTCGTTTTACGCGTGTAAACTATGATGTCAGTGGTATTTACGTTGACAGATATTTTCTGGGGGCAGTGTATTGGTTACGCAGAGCTGTTTGTTTTGCTGCTAGGCCTTTCATCTGGGATGGTTTTGTGCCCCTGACCCCCCTGGTGGTGTGTGGGATTTTGTCCACATGTCAGTATTGATAACAGCAGCTCAAGTGCCCTTTCCTTTGGAACCGAGGCGTCCCTCTTGTCTTGAACAAACGCCCCGAAATTATAACATTGAATTTTGCTCTGCATTTGCGGGAATTGCTTTTATCATTGTCTTATTTTTCTGTGTCTGTGGGGGGTACAATGTATGACTCATCTCACTTCAGACTTTTGAATGTTTGTATAGAGATTATTCCATTTTATCCTAAAAGTGACTTGTTAACTTATGATATTGAATCTAATTGTTATAACAACAATTTTTGTACATTTCTCTACGGGTTCATTAATCACATAACCCCATATTGTACTTTTTATTTTTTCTTGGGCTTTAAACATATGCTGCAAAATACATTTTTATTTTTTGCCCAAAAAACATTTATTTTTTTTTTACTTGTGTTTGTGAGTCGTGTAAGTTGTGATAATTATTTAGGATTAATTAGGACTAATTTTTTGTACTGTACTTAATTAAATCTTTCTGTTCTGTTAAAAAAAAGTCAAATGTGCTCTTACAATTGTTCTAGTGGCACTAAACATTGGGTCTGTTCATAATTTTTTGTGTCTTTCTTTTTTCTCATTCAATAAAGGACGGCTCCTGAATTTTTGTTTGGTTAAAAATGGCAACTGCACTTATAATGTTACCGTGCTGACTGTGGTGCCTTTTGCCAGCGTGCCAAGCTTTCCAGAGCATGGTCCCAAGTTTACAAACACAAGACTCTTGGTGGGGGACAGGGCCGAGCCGTTTGCCAACAGCAGCCGAGTCTTCAAAAATAGCACCATTTGGCCTACCCCCCGTGGTGGTGGCGGGCAGAAGGTCTTGTATCAAAAATCTTTTTGGCACCTTCATCGCCCTTACGAGCCACCTGAACGCCCAGCGCTCTGCGAAGGTGTTCTTCCAAGCTGGGGCTAGCTGTGGGGATTTTTTCTTCCCCGCTTTGGGGTGAAGGTTTTCCCTCATCCCGCCTCGGCTACGCGGCCTAGAGGCCTAGAGCGGCCTAGAGGCCCGGCCCTGCCGCGGGCAGCTTACTTATCACCGGTCGCAGCGTCGCAGTCGTGTCCGGTCGCTGTTGTTTCGAGTGGCGTGGGCCCGCGCCCGCGGCGACCGCTTTCTTTGTCCCTCCCTCCCGCCACGCGCTACGCTGCGCTTCGCCGAGAGAGAGAGAAACAACGCGGGGCTTTACCCGGGCTGCATAGCTTCACCTTGTCCGTCCCCGTCCGTCCCGCGGCGCACGAAGAGTCTCGCTACGCCGTGGTCCGCCCACTGGGCGCCACCTGGACGCCACCTGGACACACATCGGATTGAACTTCGGAAAGGAAGAAAGATAAGCGAGGGCGTTTGTGAACGAAGAGCCCTTTGTTCGTGGCAGCGACTTGCCCTACTGCTACTCCGCCTGGCGTGCGTGCGGCGCGTGCGGCGCGTGCGGCGCGTGCGGCGCGTGCGGCGGTCACCCACTCGCACTTGGTGTGCTGCACGAGGGGGCGCGTAGAGGCGGCGCTGTCGGTCAAGCCATGTCAAGCCACTCTCTCACGCGACGCTCGGCGACGTCAGCCTTCCCCCTGCTGCCTCCGCGGCGGCCACGACCGCCACGGCGACGGCGTGACAGCCTCCGTCCCGTCCAAGTTCAAGTTCGTCGTTACGCGGCCGCCGGGGCGTTACGTCTGTCCGCGTCCCGTTTTTCTGGTCCGGTGAGGTGAGGCAGGCCGGGACGGCACGCCACGCCACGCCACAAGACGAGACAGCCGGCTTGACCACGCGGTGCCCTGCCTTGGCCGTCGCCGCCGGTCGCTGCCGCGACACTGGTCGCGGTCCTCGCAACGCAGTGTCACTGGCCGGCTCGCCGCCGTCACCACGCACCGGCCCTAGCCAGCGCCATCCGGACCAACGAGGCCCTGCCGCCTGCCGGCGACGCTTCCGCTGGACGAGGCCCTGGCGAGGCCGGCGAGGCCCCCGCCCCCGCCGAACTCTTTCGCGCCCTGGGCAGGCCCTGGCGAGGCCCTGGCCCTGTTCGGCGTGGCCCAGCTCCCCAGTCCCCAGTCGCCCCGGCCTTGGCCAGCGGATCGCATCGCATCGCGTGCTGTCAATCCCAATCCCCGCCCAGCCCGAGCGGCCCGAGCCCTTCCACGCCGTGCGCGTCGTGCGCAGCGAGCACCCATTCTCTCCCGCCGAGTCAGAGTCCGCCGAGGGCTCACGGCTGCTCGGCTGCCCGGCTGCCCGGCCCAACCTTTCCAAAATTACGCCCCATGGGCCGCGGGCCGCGCTGCGCCGCCGCGCTGTCTGGCGACGCGCCAAGTCGCCAAGTGAAGGGAGGGCACTGCTTCGCTTGCCGCGTGCTGCGCCTCTCCGCGCGGCGCGGCGCGTCGCTGCGTTGCGGTGCATCTGGCCGCGGGGACGCCGTCAGCCAGTCCGATTCCGAGGAGCGCGCTCTGTCTCGTGTCCCCACGGTGCGCCCCATGAGCGCGAGAGCGACGGAGCGACGATAGCACCACTCGCAATGGCTCCCCGTTCCACCGTGTTCCACTCCGCCGCGAGGTTCGCTCTTCGCTCGCAGCTTTGCCTTGATTGAAGCGCGGCGCTGCGTTCCGAGTTCCGTGCTCGTGGGCATGCCTCTGCCTCTGCCTTTTGCCTTGCCGGGGCTCGGCGGCGATGCGGCGATGCGGGCGATGCAAGGTGACGATTGGTCCGCGCCGCTCAAAATAACCGCAGCCGCAGCATATCGTTTGGGCCGGGCGGTAGGCCGCGGCCGCAGGGCCAGGGCCGCCGGGCCGGGCCGACTGATGAATGATTTGTGAAGCTTCCAACAGATCGGCGGGTAGCGGGGCGGGCGGCAGTTTGACCGCGTAACCCCTTTCTCCTTTCCCCTTTCCCCGCGCGGCGCGCAAGTCGGGCAAGCCGGGCCGCCGTGGCTCCACGCGGCACGCGGCAGCACGCAGCGTGTGCGTGGCCAGGACTTCCCCGCCGCACCGTGGCGGTCGCAGAGGATGAGGATTGAGGATTCCCCTCGCCTAATGACGTCGTTCGTTCAACCACTTGATTCTTTTCTGGGGGAGGGTAGGTTAGGCGGGCCGGCCGACGAGTGGCCTGCAGCCTGCAGCTGCCTGCAGTCGGCGGCGTGCTGCCGTGCTGCATCCGTGCCCTTGACCTCTGCGGCCCCTCACGCCTACAGGGCGTTGCGCGGCGCGGCGCGGCGTTGCGTTTTGTTGTGTTGGCCGGCGTAGGGCCGCTCTCGTCCTTTTGCTTGATGTGTGGATGCCAGTGAATGTCTTCCTGTAATGGGAACCAGTCTGTTGACTACACATTGGCGTGGAGGGGGGCATAGCGGGGCGAAGGGGAAGGAGAGCGGCGCAGTGGGGGGGGGGGGGGGGAGGGGGAGGAGGAGGGGGGCGTTGTGTGTGCCCGACGCCCGACTCGACCGGCTAGCGGCTGCTAGACTCAAAGCGCTCAGTTTGTTGGACTCGCTCGGCAACTCGGCACGGTCTGGCCGGTCTTGAGGGCGCACGCCTTGGCGCTCGCCTTGCCGCTGGTCGCGATCCTGGCTGCCTTTGCCGATCTGGCGCAGGCGTCGTCGTGCCTGGTCTTGCCCGCCGCGCTTGGATGGGCGGAGTGATGCCTGCACGGGGCTTGGCAGTGTGTGATTCATGTACCTAGGGTGCTGGCCGTGCTGGCGTGAGGGGAAGACGCCCGAGAAACAGTGATGGTGATGTGTGTCCAGTGCAACCAGAATATCATCGGCAGTATGTGGTGTTGTGTGCGCCAGTGTAGTGTTTCATGACTGTGATAAAAGACTTAAGTGAAATCTTCATTCCTGAAATAACAACACTTCGGTTATGGACTGTGCATTATGACTAATGTGGAACTGAGTACGATTAGTTTAGAAGTTACAAGTAGTACAAGCCCCTGTCAAGATGACATCGAGTCAAATCAATTTACTAGTCTCACACCCTCAAGTGTCCTTGCGAATGAAGCGGCTGTTGCATCGTCATCGGAAGCGCCTGAAAATGAGGACAGCCCATCATCCAGGCGTACAAGCAGTACCTTCACTAGTACAGTATGCAGCATACAGGCCGGTGTACAACTGGGCGTTACTGAGGGCTTACCTAATTCAAACTTCGAGAGCAGTCACCACACACCCCGTCAACAAATTGCTGTTCCGAGTACCACGGCAAAACCTCAAGATAAAAAGCAACGCAACACATGCCAACGAATATGGAAGCATCTCAAGGTTCATGTCCAATGGGAAATAAGAGGGGAAAATGGAAGGAAAAGGGGTGGGAAAGCAAAACTTACTTGTGTTGAAATAATTTAACACTAATGAAAATTTTGGTTTTGGACAAGGTCTATTTGTGAATTTGCTGTGTTCGTGTAAGGAACGCCATAGGACTGCGTCTGGTTAGATGTAAGGCTCTAACTAATAATTTCACTGCTCTTTACAAACATAGACGCTTTTCAGTCTTTTGCATGTGAGAGTAAAATTTAATGACATCACCCAATAGATATATGCGCTCTTAGGACCAAGTTGTCTGCATTTAATAGCTTGTCCTCAGTCAGGTATGTCAATGGCGAAATCTGGTGGAACATAAGATGAGACCTTTCCAACAAGAAGTTCTTTCATATTGCATGTTATGTAGCTGTTGTAACCCTTTTGCTTCTTATAGATATTTTTTTGACATAGTTCATTCAATACTGAATAATATGAGCTATGGTGCTTTTTGATGGGTGCTCTGTTGTTTTGTTGATCTGGCTGTACCACTAGTTTTGAGAGGAAGTTAGCTTGCAATAAGTTGACTTAAGTTTTGTTTTTATCATTTACCTTTAAATTGTGTAATGTAGATTATTTCTTGGAGAACAATTGATGTTCATAGTAATCTTACATTATTTGCCTCAAAAATTAATGAAACGTGAAGTGTTAGTTGATTGTTTTTCAATCTTTAACTTATTTTTAAATTGCTTGTTCACAGACCTCAGGTATCGGGGAGCCCAGCGTGTACCACGCCTTGGTTGTCATTTTCTTGGAATTCTTTGCATGGGGCCTTCTAACTATGCCCGTTATTTCGGTAAGATGAGATTCTGTTCTGAACCAGTCAAAAAAGTAACGGATTATATTGGTTTCTGGATAATTAATTCCTTTCATTTCATAGGTGCTGAAAGAGACATTCCCAGAACATACATTCTTGATGAATGGTCTCATCATGGGCATAAAGGTTTGTTTGTTTCTTTGATTTCTTCAAGGTTTAGATTCAGATACTTCTTTTGACATTTTAATGTTGACAGTGCCTTTTTACAAAGGGTGTTCTGTAACTGCTTTTGTTTTGTTTTCAGGGTATATTATCCTTCCTAAGTGCACCACTGATTGGGGCCTTATCAGATGTGTGGGGACGCAAGTTCTTTCTTCTAGTCACAGTGTTCTTTACATGTGTACCAATTCCACTTATGTCCATTAATCATTGGTAAGCAGCATTTCATTTTAAAGTCAAGAGTTTTTTGTCTTGTGCAGAATACATGATTGTAATACAAATCTTTTAAACCATTACAACCTTTGCTTGCTCATTTCCATTATGATGTTTAACAATATCTATTTGTGTTTAAGGTGGTTTTTTGCCATGATCAGCATTTCTGGAGTATTTGCTGTTACCTTCTCAGTTGTATTTGCCTATGTCGCTGATGTCACTGAAGAAAATGAGCGAAGTTTAGCATATGGCTTGGTAAATTATGATTCTTTCATATTAATTGTACGCTATTTTCATTGAAACAAAACAAGGAACTATTTTTAATTTGTGTTGTTTACTTTAGGTATCTGCAACATTTGCCGCGAGCTTGGTCATAAGCCCTGCTCTTGGGGCATACATGATGAATGCCTATGGCGAGAATCTTGTTGTAGCTGTTGCCACGGCAATTGCCTTGCTTGATGTTTTCATCATTCTTGTGGCTGTACCAGAATCTTTACCAGAAAAAGTGCGCCCATCATCTTGGGGAGCACCAATATCTTGGGAACAAGCGGATCCTTTTGCTGTAAGTTAAATTTACATCTTTTGTCATCATCAAATTTATATTCAAGTGTTTTACTTTGTTTTTTTCTCTGTTTTCTATTTTTTGCCTTGTATTTTAGGCACTACGCAAAGTTGGAAAGGACCACACAATTCTTATGTTGTGCACTACTGTCTTCTTATCTTATCTACCTGAAGCCGGACAGTACTCCTGTATTTTCGTGTATTTAAAATTGGTATGCTATAATTTTTTTTTGTTTCAATTCAAAATTAATTGATACCTTATTTCATCGACTTTTTAACAAAATGATATCATACTAAACAAATTCTTACCTCCCTAGGTTATGGATTTCAATGAGGTCATGGTGGCTGTGTTCATTGCAACCATTGGTTTGCTCTCTGTTGGTGCTCAAATGATTTTAGGAGTTCTCATGAAACAGCTCGGCTCCAAGCATACCATCATGGTTGGACTGCTGTTTGAAATGCTACAATTAATGTGGTTTGGATTTGGGTCTCAAATGTGGTAAGTTTTTCTTTAGGCATAAATTTGATTTATGTTCTTGCCAATGCCTTGCATCCTCCATGTACATTTACAATTTTGCATTTGTCTCTTCTCTACAGGATGATGTGGGCTGCTGGCGTTCTGGCCTCAGTTTCCAGCATAACTTACCCTGCCATTAGCGCCTTCGTGTCTATGCACTCAGATGCTGACAATCAAGGTATTGTTCATATTCCTGTCAAGTTCCTTTAAAATCCAAGCAAATACCAAAGACATTTAAATGACGCTTGATTTCAGGTTTGGTCCAAGGGATGGTGACTGGAATGCGTGGTCTTTGCAATGGTCTAGGCCCTGCCATGTTTGGTGTAATATTTTACCTCTTCCACGTTGACCTTAATGATGATGGGAAGCACCGTGATGAATCTAGGACCACTCATATTCTTGACAATGCCACTGCTGGTCATGCAGATAACTTTCCTCAGGTAATTACTGTTCTTCATGTAAGGACTGTCCTTTATCTAACTTTATTTTTAAATAGTCTTCCTTGGCTGTTCTCTTGCTTTGGGGTAATATGTGTCAGGAGATTAAGTTTTCGTATGAAAAAGTCATGTCTCAATTTTTCTGTTGTTGCTTCCGTATCAGGAGCCTGTGTGGGCTATCATTAGTCAGGTAGGTGGTTTCATTGACAATAGGACTCTTATTTCTTTTGTTATATCGAATGTCATTCATTTTTATACCTGAGTAATTTGTTCAACCCCATACCAATATTTTGCAATACTGATACTGTAAAGTCTCCTTGTTTCTTTTCCTTCTGTTTCTCAGGTATTCTATATGCTAGGTACACTTTCTTGTTTGTGCGTATTGTAAACATTTTTAATGAAATTTTATCTGTTGTAGTTGATCCCTGGGCCTCCTTTCGTGTTTGGTGCTCTACTTGTCATTTGTGCGCTTTTGGTTGCGGCTTTTATACCTGAGAGTGGCAGTGTGGCAAACAATTTCCGCTCCGGCTCTCGGAGACAGTCTGGTATGTATCTCGTTATACACTTTTTTTCTTTTTGGTGTTTATTTATTTTAGTGAACTCATTGCTATGTTGTGAACTTATTCTCCCAGGGCTTTCCATGGAAGTCCATTATGAAGTGGAACGCAGCAAGAGGCACAATGGTCTCAGTCCTCTTTCTCCACTTGTTGACAACTCTGCACTCCATTGTGCCCTTTAAAGTGGGAATCGTTTTGCTAGTTTGTCTCTAGCCAACTGAAACCCAGGAGGGTCGTCATGCTTTATTTGGGAACTTTAAATCACAATTATGTGGCTATGCAGCAGTCAAAGTGAATATTTGTTCTAGGGCCTACTGCACTATAAGCATACAAAATTATCTGCAGTTCAAGAGTGGAGACTGTCCAAATTGCCTTCTCCTTATCCTCAAGTGGCTCAACATCAAGATACCAAATTTAATTTCCACCTCACCGTAATTATCAAGGTGCCTGACTAATAAATTACTAAAAGTTTCTTTAACCAAATGTTAAGTAGTTGTTATGGTTTTCTGTTGTTATTAATGTAGAAGCATTCCACCCAAATCATACTATTGCATGTGAAATCAGACATTGGAGGACGTGTGGAAAATATCATCTCCCTTTACCGTTATTTTAAAATTTATAATTCGTTTGGTTTTTTGTAATAGAAGAGACTTATTCTGATTACTATTCATATATTTACTGCTCTTGGTCAGTTTGATATATTGATGTTTAATGTTGCTGTGTTAGGTGTGAGCTTGTGTGTTTTAGTCATGTGGATGCACATCTCAAACCTACTTGCCATTGTAAGAAGTCAACCAGTCCTTTGAGAACTCGTGGCTGATCTCCGTCCTGCTGCGTTTCTCAGGTTAATTTCAACTGTGCCTTTCATCATTGCACGTTGTTGTATTTTGTAGTGTGAGGTCTAGTACTGTAATTGATTTGACCCACAATTGTAATTTAAGCTGGCTTTCGTGTGAGAGGAAGTATGTTAATAATATTTAATATAATCTATTATCTGTTAAAAGGTTGGTCTGTGATTTGATTTGTCTTATATTCTAGTGTATGTTTTGATGTAAAGCTTCTTTTGTTTCTTAGAAGAATCACACAGGGATACAAAGACACTATGGATTGTCTATCCTAGGCTTCATAATTCCTGTATGTTGACTTTATATTCTCCCGCCTTAACTTAACTGTATTTCTAGATATTCTTATTAATGTCTAAGATTCAAAAGGAAAAAAAAAGTACTACAGGCTTTTCTTTTAGAGCAAAGCATTGCTTGAATTTAGGTCTTTGTGAAAGTGTCAAATTGTTAAAATCTTGGTGTATTTAGTAGTGTCTAGACTATGAAATGTGTGAATGTGATGTGTGTCTGTATGTGTGTTTGAACAACATGCTGTAGCTCATATATTCAGCAAGATTAATGATTAGAAATGACACGGTGTTATTTCATTTCTTATATTGATATTAGTTCAGTGCCTATTTATTTTAATCATGTTGATATCAGTAGCTCTCAAATAGTTTCAATTCCAACAGGCTTGGCTTTTTTAAGAAACAAAATTGTGTATGGTGGGCTTTGACACTGTGTACAATTTCACTTTTGACTGAAACTACCTCTTTATTGTTTAGAAGCCTTTTCCATTGATGGTAGCTTTTCTTGGATAATCACACAATGCATAGCTGCAGCATCTGTACAGACTGATGACCTAAATTTCTTTGTGAACGCTCATTGCCCGGTGATCTCGTATAGCTTACTTGTTCCAGTTCAGTCTGCTTTAGTCTACCACAGTTCTTGGAGTTTTCAGAGTAATGAGTTCCATCTAAGGCCTGATTTGCTTTTCTCTAATGTAGTCTTTGTGAGGTCACTGTAGCGTTTAACAATTTTATTTTGTGATGAAGTTAAGCTGATAACTGGTTCAGTTTTTGTGTCCATCATAACAGTGAGAGTTTTAAATTCATTTAATGGCCCCTTCTTATCTAAATGACGATTAGGTGGTGATTGCACCTATATTGACACCTATTGGTGCAGTGTCATGTTTAAAATCATCCCTACCTCTCTTTTCTATTATTGTTTCTAGTTCATGGTCAAAAATACTTGCTTTTGCTCTCTAGATTATGAATTGGAAAAGCGTGAGTTGCTTTCCTAAGGGACCACATCACTAAAGTTATCATTATTTCAGTGGTGGAGCTCATACAGTTTTCTCAAGGCAAACCTAACTTAACTACAGTGGACTTGGTCTTTTGAAAATCTCTGATGAAGGAAGTTTCTCTCTTTTTTCTTTTTGCCTGTGCCCATGACAAGATTTGAGGAGATATGGAAAAGGATTCCACCTTACTCCCTCTTTCTCTCCATTAAACTGTCTCACACCTAAAAACAATGTTTCTGTTTCAATTACTGTCTTTTGTGGATTTTCCAAAATGTCACTGAATCAATATGTGGTTGCTTGCATTGCACCTTTATGTGAAAACTGTGTTATATTTTGGTGTTTGTGTGTGTGTTTGTGAGCCTGCCTGTGTGTGTGAGTGTGTGTGTCTGTTGAGAGCACATCATTTTGTCTTGACAGTTCTCATTGACTGAAACTATTCTAAGATTTTTATCTTCTGACTCCCTGATGTATGAGCAATCCCAAATATAACGAGTTTATGTAATTCTTACCTCCTCTTATTTCCTTTTGAAGTTTTTATTTATTGAGGGTATCTTTTAAATGCCAAAGAGTGATAATCAGATTGAACTACTGCTGATCAGAGGATGTGTAACTTCACTATATTATAACCTCAACAAATTTCTGGGCCTGATTGTGCACTAATGTGGTATCTATCTTGATTCTTTTGTTTTGTGGTTATTAATAAATTTGACATTCATAAAAATGAGATGTTACATTTTGGTTGGGGTGGGACTATCCCTGGCCTAGGCTTTTGGTTTTTAAGTCTGACTCTTGTCTCTTTAAATGTATCTGCATACAAACTTCATCGTCAAATGTCAAGGTTAAGAGAGTTTGTTCATGGATGGTCTAGGTCTCCCCCCACCCCAATTTTTTTCTTCTTTAGAACTTGTACTGTCCCTCTCTTTCATTTGAGTACATGATTTTACATCGTCTCATATTGTGAATGCACTTTTACTGGCACGTAAGTGCTCCTTTGTGTACGTGTGTGCGTGTGTGTGCAAGTGGACATGTAGGTAGGTCTGTACTGTGAATATTGTTAAATATGTGAATGTCTCTGTTGTATATTGTGCTGTGGAGGATGGCTTCTTCTTGGAAGCGTTGTGATTTTGTCATTCTTGTAGTGATATGTTTGTGATTCCCTTCCTTGTCATTGTCATTTGGGCAGCCCTTAAAAAAATATTCAAATTTGTCATTTTGCAAAAGTATAAAAAATTAACCTATTATTCTGTCTACTTCAAAATGAGTTAACTTTCCAGTCTTTTATGAAAGAGGGTCTGTATAAAAAAGGAGTAAAGAGAGTTCTAAAGGAGTCTAGTGGAAGCAATTTGAATTTGGAATACTGTGTGTGTCTGTGTGTGAGTGTGTGTATGTTTATTAAAATGTGCACAACTAGATCAGCTGTAGATAAAAATGCATTTGGACTTTGTATAAAAATTATTGTCTTTTCAATATCAGAGGAAAAACAAATTTCTCCAAGCATGAAAACTGGCTTTGAAATTTTACTGCATGGACATTCCAATTTCATTTTTTTTTTAAACTGTTGATTTATCCTTTTTACAAGGTCATATTTCTAGAATTTTGGCATTGTAAAGTTGTCTGATCACTCAGTGTTTTTGCTTTTGTTCATACTGTTTGCTATTTTAGTTTTCTTACTGTTAACATTTCCAGTGAGCGAGTTCATTCTAAATAGGAGCAATTCAATTGTAACTGCCATATCTTTTTGTTGTCCCAATGTCCTCTTAGGCTGAAAATTATTTTGGTGTGCTACAGGCATGAATTTTCCTCGTAAATAGTTTTACAACTGTACAGTAAATTAAAAATGCTGGTTTGGTAAAGAAAGTTGTTTTAACGTGATATCAAGAAGAAAGTTTCTTTGGTACATCAGGCGAGGAGTATTGCTTCAAAGTGTTACAATTACTTACATTATGGAACAGTATTTATTTGAATAGGTGGCTTTAAACATGTTTTAGTGGAGAAATTAGATGTAATTAGAACAGTCAACAAACACTTATTGCAAACATGTTTGTTGCCTTTCTTCCGATTGTTTGATTACATATAGAGTATTAAGAGGCCTTTAACATTTGGAAGCATTTTCTTTGCTGTCTTTATTTTTGTATACTGAGTGCGGCCCAAATAAACAAGTTGTTCTCGTAATGGCTTTTTCTTCTAGCAGCTGATGCATCATAAGATGCAAGCGTGGTTTGTGCGGATACTGTTATTTAGTAATGTGTAGGTCAGTATGTAAATAGGAAAAAAGTAAATGTGATAGATGTTGTTTTCTTCTCTGTTGGTTAGGTTAACTTACGGAACTGAATATCTTGGATCAGCTGTTCTCTATCTTATCAAAATTTTGCCCATTCCTCTCTAATTTAATTTTTCTGTGTCCATATCTGGAGCATCTAATTATGTCATTGTCAATTTACAGACCTCTTAATGTACTTCTTGAAAAACAGTCAATACTCGTTAGCAATTTTCGTCTCAATCCTAGTTACATCCCTTTTTTGTTAAATCATGATTGTAAATATGTCTTGACAAGTAAATATTTTGGGTCACATGTATGTTTTCCTTGTGTGTGTTTTATTATTAAGTAACTGGCATTAATGAAGTACTCTTTGGCGGTCGCACTGTGCTGGTTTGACCTTTCTCATAGAGTTCTTTTTCTGTTTCATTTCCTTTTTTTTCTTTTTTTTTTGGGGGGGGGGAGGGGAAGAGAAAGAGAAGTAAACTTATTATTTGGGCCCTGTTTCAACAACTCTTTGTTAATCCAAGTAATTGTTACTGCTGTGTACATCAGTGCATGACACAAATCCATTTGAGCATGATGTGCCTAATAATCACTGCCACAGCAATTATTTAACAAAATGCTAGGCTTGATTAAAATGTGCACAATCATATCTCACAGCTTTGTTGTGATAGTATTATCTTGTTAAAATCAGGAAAGTATTTGTTTCCCATCTTTATTTCATTATTTTTACAATTGTTGTGACAAAAATAGGTAACTATGGAGTAGAAACTACTGTTGCATTTAATGGCAGAAAAGGATAGGAAAATGGTTTGTGCGGAAAGTGAGATCAGCGTTGGGGAAGTTCTTTTGTATTTTTCGGTCCTTTACAAACATATTTTTCTGCCACTGTACAAAGTACATAATGTTGCTGTGAACTAGTGTTGAGTTGTGACGAGAGTAAAGACACTTTATTTGTGAATTGGATTTGAAGTTTTTCTCCTCCTCCTTTCTGCGCCTCCCTGAAAGAAACATTAACTAGGACTTGTTAGGGGTTAAGTAGGCCTCTAGTCAGGATTGATTAGTTGTTAATTGAAATACGTCTCATGAGCCCAGTTGCCAACCTTTCTGAGCGCTCTAGTCCAAGAATGTGGATTGCTTGAGGCAGGCAGAATAGGGCGCCAAGCGCTAAGTGCTTAGACAGTTGGTTAAGACGTAAATTTCAATGCTTGAAAAAAAAAATCGTTTGTGAGGTCCTTTATGCAGCAGATTACACAGGCTGACGTCTTTACGCTCTCAGCTGCAGTTTGTAGCAGGTGAAGCAGAAGCAGTTCAAACAATACCGACCGGTTGAGACATGTCAGGCAATTGCAGTAGGTTTGTAAGGAAAATGAAAACATAGGTATACAAAAGTTAAAATTTATTTCTTGCCTGACAAGCTTAATTGCAGTATTTCCACTATCACATTTACACATAAAATATAAATCCAAATTCCATGTTTCTCTAGGATTATTTATGATTACATGATTACAAATGCTACAGGTATGTACAACTGACTTTCCATAAAAGTACATGACAAAACAAAGTTGACTTAAAGTTGGTTTTCTTGTTTGTTTAAATCAGTCAAGTCTTTCACAATGGGTCTGCTCAAATCTGAGACCATTTTCAATTAAGTACAATAATCAGTGCATAAATTGATTGCTGCATTCTTGACACAACACAAGGTCAGTTAATTTCATATATTATTACAAATTTATTATTACTGTAGTTATTTACTAACAAAGCTGAAACAAAGACTTTGGAAACACAGCAGTATATTTAAATATATATATTTTTTTAAAATGTATTTACATATACAGTATCTATGTACAATTTGCACATGTATCCACAAATGTCAGGCAGAAATATCTAAGTTGATTGATCAGAACAAATATGCATACATTTTCATAAGAGAACTAGGGAAAACACAAACTAAGAAACCCTGACTTCTTTTGTCATCTTAAAACTAAGTGGGAGCATTTACAATGAAATGATGCAGCACAGAACTGAATCAAGTATTTAATTAAGTCAATGATAGGATGATCCACAGCACAGGGACCAAGAATCTAGGATTTAGAATTCTACAGGATTCCTTTAGAAGCAGGCAGGAATAAAATCTTTACAGTCAAATATCGGTTGTATCAAGAAAACAGAATAGTTTTCTTAGGTTCACTTGTGGCTTTAAAGGTGCACTGTGCACTCACGCTCTATGATGCCTTAGAGACGAAGCGCAGTGAGCCGAATCAGGACGCAACTAACAAGGCCTCTCGTCCAATCAGAGGCCATTCTTTTGATGCCTTCGTCTGCTTCTGATGCGTCCGGTCCGGATCCGACCCACTAGGCTACGCCACCTGGGCATCAACGAGCTTGAATGCACCTACAGTGAAAAGGCATCAGAAATGATTAGCAACAGCTCACACAAATTAATTGCAATAATTGAAGTGATTTCCCGTATAAAATGAGAGAAACAAGCTCTATGAAAACATGAAAACAAGTATAAGGATTCAGAATCAAACAAAACATAAACAAAGTAAAATTGTAGATCATTCCAAATCTTAAAAGAAGAAAACAAGCAAAGGTGCCTAAGCAGTATATACATATTAACATATACAGAACTGGAGCAAAAAGTAATTATTATAGTTTTTTTTAAATGTGTAAAAAGACAATGAAGAAAAAAAAAACTAATTGATACCTACTTTGAAAATTGTACAATAGAATATTAGGCTAAATCACAGATCAAGCATAATCTTCACCCAGACAGAATTTGAACTGGATAAGGTACCCACATGCATTGTCCTGCATTTTGGTTTCTTTCTCAAATCACACTCCAACTTAAGAGAACACTTTCATGACTTATAACACATCACTCACAGTAAAGTGAGCAAGAAATTGCAAATCTTTGTTTAAAAACAAAATAATCTATAAGCTTCATAAAAAAAAGACATTGCAATAAAGACAAGGTTTAAAAGCATGGCATTGCAAGTCCTTCCCTATCATTGCGGAAACAGGTATGAACAATGACTCTACAGGGTATTGATTTTGTGTATGGAGTTTAAGTGAAAACAATGAAGGACTGGTAACAAATCTATCTGGCATCATCACAAAACAAAAACAAAGATTAAATTGGAATTGATTCAAATGTTTGAAGCAAAGGAGTAAAACTGGGTTTCAAAAAACACCAATATACAATCAATGACTGTAGCAATTCTCACTTTAAAGACGAGCAAAATGCTAGAAAAAATAAGAAATGTCTGACAAAACAAATAGTCAGAATACAACTTGAAGTATACTTTCTGAAACACTTCCAACTGCACATATTTTTGGCCACCACTAAAAGAAATCTAAAACCATAAATCTCCTTCTTCAGCTTCATCCACTTCTTTAGGCTCTTGAACATAACGAGATTCTTCATGGTTATCATCATCTGATTCACTCACAGCCAAATCATCGTGGATTTCTGTCGGTATTTGTTCGCAAGAAACTCCTGGGTCCCTCAAGTCCAAATGTAAGTCATCTACAGGAACTGGTACAGCAGCTGGTGCTCTTCCCAACGATAAGAATTCTGATGGGTCGTAGTTGGGGTCCAAATCCAACCCTTCTTCTAGAAAAACACAGTGTACAGTTGAGAAGACGGTATCTTTCAGGAAAAAGCAAGGCAAACACAGTATTTCAGAGATTTTCATTTTACATACCTTGATCATGATGAGTTAGTTGGTGAATCTTAAATGCATCCATTCCATCGCCTTCAACACTTCCATCGGGGACGTTTTCAGGTGGATAGTAACCCATTGTTCCAAGTTGAACCATTGCCTCTGCTACTTGTTGGCTGTCATCATCCAACTCATTCACAACATGAGAGTCTAAGTGATTGGCATTGGTTAGTTCAACATATTCCATTTCTTCTTCTTCAGATGAGAAATGAAGATCTGCAACACAAATTATATTAATGCACTGGTAAACTAAAATTATAACAAAATAGAAGCAGACTAAGCATACCTTCTTCAAGAAGTTCTTTCTTAGTGACTCTAGGTGCACCAGTTTCTTCACCATCTACGTCTACATACTCAAATTCATCCAACTCATGTTTGACAGAGGAGTTGGCTTGACTCTGAAAATAAAAAGGTTAAAAATAAAAACTTTGAAAGCAGAGAAAATTTTTTACTCTCATAATTTTAAATAATGAAAAATCCATACCTCAGAAAGATGATGGTCAATGGTATAATTTTCATCAGGATGTTCAAGATCATTTTCAGTATCCTGCTCATGATCACCAGGCCAAGTTCCCACAGAATCTACATCTGCTTGTTCCAAAGCACGTTCTTGAACCAAACTTATATTTTTTTCCAGCTGGTCCAGATGATCTCCATAGTCATTTAGTTGAGAAACAACAGTATTATATATTGCCTCTGCCTTTTTAGTATAAACTGATTCTTTTCCATTGTACGTAACACAGTTCTGCAGTATCTGTTCAATATCTTTCTGAAAGTCTAGTCTGTTATGATATTTTTGGGCTAGGGAAACAAAAAAAAATTTGAATTATAATGTGATTTCCAGCTTAAACTAAAAAATGTACATTTATGGTGAACATACCAGCAACTTTTTTACTGATTTGTTCAAGGTCCATGGGATTCTTTATTTTGTTGTAGTAGTCTTTAACCTGTTTTTTGTTTACAGGTTTCAAGAATGGCCAAGATTCTGACATTGACTTAATTTTGTCATTCAGAATACTGTTCAAAATAAATGTCAATGCGACCTAGAACAAACAAAATATTAAACAAACCCAATAAATTAGAAATAGTGAGCAATGATGAAAATGGAAAATGCAATGTAATACTCACTTGGTCATTATCATCCAGTAGAGGGTTAATAGCTTTTTCGAGCCTCATCAGTCTTTCCTCTTTTTCTCCTATCCGTTCAACACACAAGGCCATCATCCGCTTTGCAGCAATAGTTAATGAGCTCTTTGCACCTGGAAGTTTTATAAAAATATAACAATAATCCTCTTGAATGAAGAATAGAAATTACCAAATATGTAAACAATGCCATTACCATTATAAATACTACAATTTTCGACTATTTGATTGACATCTGCCAAGAACTCTTCTCTACTTTGGTACTTTTTAGCACGCAAATTTTCTCGAATAGTTTGCAGATCCATGGGGCGATTCACAATTGCAAGATAATCAGGAACATTCTGAAATAGTAAATGAAAGTTAAGAATGTTACATAAAAAAATCACCTTTTTCATTCTCTTTAACAGCCCAGTTTGTCAACCAAACATTTGGTCACACCTAGAAATACAGAAAATTCTAAGGCTAAAAATTCTTAGGCTATAACGCTAATTTACAACGCAAAAAGACTCTCCTAAAACATAGCAAATTGAAAAATGGTATGAACTGACCTTTGTATTAACAGGGAAAATAAAAGGCTGAACATCAGGGAGATCACGCATTTCATTCAGAATTTCCTCCAGAATAGTGGAAAGAGTCACAACAGGGTCAGTGCGTGCCCGATTTGCTGGTCTTTGGTGTTTCTTCAAGTAATCACAGTGGAGCTCTCCACCAGCTCTCTTGCGCTTTCTGTTAACAGCATCTTTGGGTACCTTTAGAACTAGAGAGCGTCTCTTGATCTCCTCTGCGTGCTAAAGTTGTGAACAAAAAACTTATCTTTTAGTAAACGAATGGTAAGAAGAACTCCGTGACAATAACATTTTTAAAAGCATGTATGAAACTCATACATCCAGAGCACTGACCTTAATCAGTTTCCCACTGAGTTTCAGTTTTGTGCCTTCAACATTAACTAAATCTTGGTCATCTGCACTGAACTGACGCTCAAATTCTTCATCTTCTTGTTCCTCTGTCAAAGCCACATTGAGGGAAGTTGGTCCACCAAGACCCGATGAAGAGTACAGGGGACATGCTTTGTTAGTGCGCATGTGACCGACCTAAGAAAAAGAGACCCAACCTAAATTACAATCCAAGGAAAAATTATAACAGTTTTACAAGACAAGAAGAGAATCTACCTTTCCACAGGCACCACACTTCAGCTTCAAGTCGGGTTTAAGCCGAGGCTGCTTCTTCCTCTTTGGTGAAATGTGATCCCCGAAGGGACGTTTGTGTCGATCCCGATCCCGGTCTCTGTCACGCTCCAGTCGATTCCTGATCCGGTCCATGTCGGGGTGGTAGTCTCGGTCCCGCTCACGACTGCGGTCCCGCTCCTTCTCGAGCCTATCCCTATCCCTGTCCCTATCTCTGTCTCTGTCTCGCTCCATGTCCCTGCCACGCTCACGTTCGATATCCATGCTCATGCGGCGAGGCGACGGCGGAGAAAGCGTGTGCATTTTACTGAATCCCATGGCACTGAGAGATGTGTCAGAGCCACCACCAGCTGAAAACAATGTGCAAGTAATAATCGAATTAAAACTCGGTACAGCGAACAACAAAATAAACATGTCCCAATCAAAGCTTAAAACTCACCGAGTAATTTCTCTCTCTCTTGATTCCTTTTAATTCTTCTCAGTTGCTCTTGAATTCTACGTTTCTCTCTTTTCATTTCTTCCTTCTGAGCTTCGTCTAACGTAGCAAACTGTTTGATGAAAGCTTCGTCCTTAGTCTCTCTAATTTTCAGATAGGTATCAATTACCTGAGATTTACGGACAAATTCAACCCTTGAGTATTCTTTCCCATCTGCATCCCGGAAGGTGCGGTTAATCTTTAAAACTCGGCCTATAATCAAATGCAAGTAAATTAATCAACCTAAGAAAAAGATTTACAAAAAACAGGCAACAAAAACAAAAAACAAAAATTACCAGGTTGAGACCCGAAGTTAGATAAGGAGTGACTATCATCATCATCTTTTTTCTTGTCTTTGCCTTTTCGAGGATCCTGACTGTCTGCCTCCATAATCATCTTTCTCAACTCTTGTCGCTCCTGTTCTTCACGCTCCAAAGATAGCTGATAGAAATGATTAAAAACATTCCCATCAGAAAATGGAATAATAACGACACTAATTTTATTTTCTTGAGCAAAATGCTGCTAAGGAAAATTGAAATTTACCTGGGTAGATGTTTTTTTATTGGAAAGAAGGTTTTCCAAGTTTTTACCCATTTCTTCCACATCAGAGCTGTCCTCATCAGAACTTTCACCTTCATCAGTGGAAAGGATTTCACTTGATGCGAGTACTCTATTTTGAAGTTCAAATATTCTCTGGCATTCTTCTTTGTACCTGTAAAGACAAATATTATTTTTTTTTTATTTCCATACAGGACTTAGGAGGCCCAATACAACACTTCAGAACTGATTAATGCACCTTTCTTGATGTTCAGCTATTGAAAATCTATTTCCTCGGGAAAACTTATCCATTCCTTCTTCTCCAGCTTTGGCTTTCTCAGTAGACAATGTTCTTACCACATCAATAACTTCCCATCGAGACAATTTTTTGATCTAAATCACCCAAAACATGGCTTATTAGGACAGAACAAAAATGAAAAGAGTTCAACAAAATTAGTTTGAAACATACTTCATCTTCAGGAACACCAAATTTTCTTAGCAAAGCTTTGGCATTGTTCAGGGACAATCTACGTAAATCAGCATCTGTTCCGGTGACTGTTCGTTTGGGTTGCGATTCTTGTTCCTCTTTACTTTGCTGCGAATGAAAAAAAAAATTTACAATGATTAGCTTTTGAAAAGTCTACAAACTGAAGTAAATGAAGAAATACTTACTGTGGGCTTGTTCGGAACCCGAACATAAGAGAATCCTTCACCACAACCTGTCGGATCAGCAGGTCCTGTCAACTGCAGCAAGCACTTTCCCTTCATGGCCTGAATGTAAGCACGGGTAGTATTCCATGGGGCAACTTTGATCTCATCATCCATTTTGAGCTGCATTTCCTCATCATCATCATCTTGTTGAACAAAGATAGACTTCTCACCATATCCAGCATCCTTAATGAAGACAAGACAATATTTGAGTTTAATAATTAACCAGTACCAAAATAGACAGCTGTCTGTTGAAAATATCAACCCACCTTCAGACGCTGCTCTGCGGCTATCATGCTGAAGTAAGCACAACACTGTTCAGGTGACACCATAGCTCTAATTTCTTCTTCAGTTGGTAGACGGAAATCTGGTTTGATTACCCACCAGTTTGAATCCATTCCTACATTTAAACAATTGAAGCCAATGAGTTGAAATTCAATGCTTATACTCAGTAAATTAATTAAAATAAAAGAAAACTTCAAGAAATTTGCAATTGAAACAGACCTGTTCTTTTAAAATCTGCACATAATTTTAAACGTTTCCGTATGCTACTTTCTGAATGAGATGGGAATGCCTTTTTAATATCATCCATTTTGATACGGCGTAAAGGATCTCTACTTTTCCAGAATAATCTATAGATGAATACCTGTAAAATCCCAAAATCAAAAGTGGTTCTATGGTGCACAACAAGACAATTTTAACATGACGTCCAAATGTGAATAAATACCTGAAGGAAATCTCTTATAAAATTATTTGCTCTCTTGGAGTTGGGACCAGGAACTTCATAAAGGGGACATTCTTGTCCAGCAGTAAACAGTGCTTCAGCTTCTCGTATGTAATAGCTATGCCTTGTTCTGATGACTAAAAAGTCACACTCGGGCACTTTGTGTTCATAAATTGGAGCACGATACAGATTGTTTTCTACTACTTGAACACATTGTCCAGGAGAAAGTATACCCAAGAAGGGAGAAGTGTGAGCATATGCTATTTCACCATACCGGAATGGAGGAGGTCCTTGGTCTTTTCCTGCTTTTCGCTTGTAATAGTTCTTTATTTTTGTACACATGCCAACCTAAAAGCAACAAAACATCATATGCTTGGATAATTACCCAAAAATGATACTACGCTGGAATACAAATGCAGCTTTCAAACAAACAAAAATGATAATTTTGTAAAATAAATACTGAACTTACCTGATTGGTAAGTGGTGGATGCTCTTCACAAAATTCAACCAGTATCAATTGCCCATCCTTGCCAGAGAGGTCTTCTGGTGTGCGCATGAAGAAGACATCACCACCACCAGAAGCAATACGCTCTTGCTCCCTTTGCTGAATAGGGACAAAAAATTACACAATTACAAGTTTTGGTCAATGAACATTCAGATAGTCAAATACCAGAAAATAACTACCTTGGCCTTCTTCTTGATGATCTTAGCCAAAGGATGAACTGGATGGCGGATAGGTTGGGACAATGGTCCACGAGAATAACGCTTCATAGGGGGCCGGTGGAAATTTCTCAGTTTAACTTCACCCATAAACGTTTGGACAAATGGCACACGTAATTCAACCACAGGAATAGAATGCTGGATTAATTTCCCACCAACAGGTTTCAGGCGTACTATAGATTCTGATGATTTGGCCATATAGTAACTAATAATTAAGAAAAGTACACTCATTAGTGTAAGAGAAAACAGTTTGAATTCATTTTCTGTGATGTTCAGGGGCATAATGTGACGTACCTATCATTGGACACATTGAAAGGATCTCGGTCAGGAGACTTTGGTGGAGGTGCTGGTGAATCTTCTTCCATAACATTTATAATTCCTGCTTTACCCAACAAAATCTTTGAATTCTTAACATGGGGATGTGGAATTTTGACTTTCACAGGAGTTGCAGAATTAGCCCGCTGCTGAGCTGGATCAACATCCTCCGGTATACCCAAAATTATGTTTTCATCATTAGGATCAAGCGTGACAATTTTTGGTTTTGGAATCTTGGTCATATTCTCTGCATCCCAAATAATCTGAAATCCAAAAATTAAAAAAAAAAAATTATCAAGAGAAAGAAAATGCTTGCTTTTCCTTACTCAACTCTTCAAAAGGAGGATGGGACAAAACTTGTTACCAATCTTCAAAGATTACCTCATCTTCCCACGTGCCATAAACTAGTTCATCATTTTCCACAGGGAAAATAGAATACCAAGTGTCATCTTGAGGATCATCTTGTCTTTGTGGTGTAACTGGCCCCTGTACACCAGGCTTTCCAGCTCTAATTAAGGCAGGAAAGCAAATGAGTAAGTAAATCTCAAAACCATATTATGTTTTTAATTTTTTTTAAGCACAAGAGTTTTAACTGCAAGGGGTGATATTTACCCAGGTTTAGCTGATTTTGCACCCATTTGGGTGGGATGGCGACTGGGAGCACCCATGATTGGAGTAACACCCTTTCCTGGTTGACTAAACGCTTGAGCAGCTGTGCGATTGCCGCCACTTGGCAACCAACCAGCAGCAACATTTTTGGAGTTCAGCTTCTGTGTGACCTACAGAGAAAGGTTGTTAAAAAGTATTGCAAAAATTATTAATAAATTAAATTAAGAAATTACCTTATGTTTTATGTCATCACCATTCCATACAACATCATCTTCCCAATGCAACTGTGAGACCATTAGAAATGAGTCATCAGGAAATGGATTTTCTTTCTTGTCTTCATTATCATTCTGCGAAGGTAGATACAAGATAATTAAGGCTGCTTTATACCACTGATGCAAACAAATTTTTTGAAGGAGAACATTACCTTCTCCATGAGACGAAAGCCATAGTTGAAACCTTCTCCTGTTTCAGGGACATCCAACATGTCATACCAAAAATTAGCAGGACCAAACCTCCAGTCGGCGACACGTGGACCCATGTCATTGTTTTCCCCTTGCTCTTGTTTGCCTTCTTGCGTATCATCTTGAACAGGCTTCAACAATTTCTCCTATGTAGACAGAGGATTGCATAAATATATCAAAACTATTGCAACAAAATAATAAGCATTTTCTATTGAATTTCTTTTTGTATGTTATTAACGACAATAAAAGGTAACCAAATATGTACCTCATCATCAGAACGACATTGACTAGGATCTGGTTCTGGTGCATAATTGAAGTCCCATCCCGACTTCTGACGAGGTCTCTCAGAATCAGAACCTGAGTCTGAATGATCCACATGGTCTCGTTTATGTTTCTTTTTTCGTCGCCGCTTGCGAACACTTCTCCATATTTGGGGTAAACTACTTGGCTTGCCAGGGCCAAAAAGGCGAGAAAATCTCAGAACCTGATGGAATGAAAAAATAAATGATCAGTGTTTTAACAAAGTCAAGGAATGCATAAAATTTTGAATTTTTGTATCGTGCTGTGGTGCTAACCTTGTCTATTCTAAAATCTGGAAATATCTCTGTTACATTGATACCAGCATATTTTGAAGGCAGCATTGATGCCAGAGGGGTCTCTCGCTTTTTTGCCAATGTTTCTTCACTTTCATCTTCACCATCTGACTTCTTCTCACTAGGTATGGGAGGTGGAGGCATTAGGTCATTGTCTTCTCTCGCACCAGTTCCTTCATCATCAGCATCATAATCTAATGCAGCTGGTTTATCCTTTTTATCACCACTTTCAGGGAGGTTGGGGACCGTGGGTAGGTTCGAGAGGTCTGGGGCATCAGGGGCATCGGAGGTTTTGGTGGCATTGGGGGTTTTGGGGGCATCTGAGGCATTGGAGGTATCGGGGACATTGGAGACATCAGAGGTATTGGTGGTATTGGGGATATTGGAGGTATTGGGCACATCGGAGACATCGGAAGTATTGGTGGTATTGGGAACATCGGAGGCATTGGGGATATTGGGGACATCGGAGGCACTGGGGGCATTGGGGACATCGGAGGCATTGGGGATATTGGGGACGTCGGGGGATTTTGAGGCATCGGGCATGTTGGGGGCATCAGGGGAATTTGAGGCATTGGGAACATCAGACACATCCATTTCAGCAGATTCTGAAGGTGGAGTGGGGTGTTTGAAGTCTGCGTCTTCATTTTCACCAATAATAGGCTTTTTATCAGTTTCTATAGGAACAAGGGGAGCATATGTTGGTGAATGACCAGGTGAAGAGTCTTCAGCACTATCATTCTTGATGTCCAAAACTGGTGCTGGAGTAGCACCAGGAGACAAAACCGATGGAGGGGTAATGGGAGCTGCAGAAAGTGCAGAATCTGGATCTTCTTTAGGTGATGATGAAATGGGATCAGGTGTTTCTGGGACCATTGGATCAACAGGAAACGCTGATGATGCCTCCTCTTTCACCAACTCTGAATCCTGAGGAAGAGGGTGATTCAGGGGAACGTCGTTAGAGGAACAGCCGATTGGCAATGCAGCGTCTGGCACAACAGGCTCCACAGTCTCTCCTAGGGTTGGCTCTCCCTCTTCTTTCACAGTTGGTGCTAGATTCTCAGTAACCACTGGATTATTATGTTCAACTGAGGGGGACTTTGCCGTATCTCCTTGAACATTTAGAGGTGCTGTTGTTGCCTCAGAAGGCGTAGAGTCGTTTTCATCATTTTCATTAATTTCTTGAGTAGCTAAGTTAGAATTGCTGGGGCTTGAGGCATTAAGGGAGCTAGTATGGGAAGAAACTCCATTTGTATCACCATTGATAGGAAAATGTTCTTCATCAGCGACTTCATTCATATCAGAAAAGTCCAGAGCACTTGGTGATTTTATATTGTAGTCCGCTAAATCAAATAAAACAATGTTTCAAAAATAAAGTTTGAATGAAGTATTTACATAAACCAAAAGACGTTCAAAACTTACTACTATCCTGAGCTGATGACCGTCTTCTCGAATTAATTCTACCCGGTGAATGAATACTACTACTATCAGAGTCGTCATCACTTCTGGCATATCTACTGCTATTAGCATCTTCTGGAGTTTTATTTGAATCATCATCTTCCAGTAAGCCAGACAGTTGAGATTGAAGACATAGTTGACTGAGGGATGCAAGGTGTTGCTTTTCATCATTGCTGAAGATACCATCTTCCAACTCTCCAGATTCATCTATGTTTCCAAACAGTGCTCCGACAAGGAGAGAGCTTGGCCCACTATGTCCGCCATCTCTGTCATCGTCACTGTCTGCCATGTTTACCTGCACAAGGAAGATGTTCAAAGTTGTATACACTGTGTCGAAATGAGCACACTATTTTAAAGCACACATCACATACACAACTGTGAAAAAGATTACAAGGCTCCTTCCTTTTTTTAATTGTAGCTATAGCGAACTATAGTTACGACAGAAAACTATACACAACTACTGACTTTTGCAAACAAGTAACGTACAATGAAAATAAACAACAGAATGTAGAATTCAACAACAAGGAATCGAAAAAGCCTTTGGTAAAATAGGTAAATACATGAAATAAAAGGAGGCTGAGACAAGGAGCAAGGACAAAAATACATAATATAACCTATAACCAAATCTTCAGTAACCTTTACCCCTTTCCCTCCAAGGAAGTTGATACAAATTTATAAAAACCTGCATAGACGGATTTATGCGAGTTTGAACCACACTGAGAGAAAATATGGTTGTAATTAATCCACACTTTACAACAACTTAATAGTTTCATTATTTATCATATCAATAAGCAGTAGAATTAGTTGCTGTTTGAATAAACAATCACTAAAATCAAGTACAGAGAGACAAGTTTACTCACTGACTTGCTACCGCCGTTCCAGGAAATAAAAGTACATATTTAAAGAGAATTGAAGATAAAGCAGAACATATAAATCTCTTTCAAATTGGTGAAATGTCAATCAAAACACGGCGGAGCCGCTCGCCAACAGCCAGTCAGAAACCATATCGGATACGCTGCCCGGGGGAAATAGGGAAGCATGATGACGTCATAGATTGAAACACCAACTTAGATATGTTGACATCCTCCGTCTGTCTCTTTCGTTTTCAACTGAACGGAGAAAGATAAAAGCGAAGGACCAGATGAAAATTTATCTTATTGTGGAGTGAAAAGTTAACTCACTGTTTGTTTCCAAAGGAAACGGTAGGCTGATGACGCATGACAGTGGCCTTGATCTAGGGACATAAACGTTTGTCTGGTTGCATGCTTGGACCTTCAGACCTGCGGTTTGAAAGGAAAACCGGTACCAGGGTCAGTCCGTCTTGCAGCAGCTATTTAATTTTCTTTCTGTGTGCTGCTGGTCTCAAATAGAGATCGTCCAGTGAGATTCGACTCATAGGTAATGTTATGCATGTTCTGAAAACTTCCAGTGCAAGGGTACCGTTCGACTTTGTTTACATTCATTCTTCCTTCTCAGGTCCCCCGGCCTTTGTGGCAACGGTTAGAGATGATTCTTTTATTACCATTTAGACATTTTATGTCTTACATTTCCTTTTTTTGATTTCGCTATTGTGACTCCCATTTAACACTGACCTCATAAATGCCTCGTTTTCGGTTGCTAGTTTTGCCATTCACATTGTCAAAATGTCATTTGCAGACCACTTATGACTGCTGATGTTTTTGTTACAGGCATTATTTCCTGTGAATCATGATCCGCGGCAGTGGCAAGGAGAACAAAGCCGTGTTGCCGTCCCAACAACGACCTAAACAGGTCCATGTCATCAAGAGGTAAGTGTTGCAGCGAAGCTCAAGTTATGTTCCATGTTGGTTACAACTGATGATTTCGTGTTTGTTTTAGTTCGGGTTTCATTGCTGCCTCCAAAATTCCAGCTACTAAGCCTAAAGCATCTGTTCCAACTTCTAAACCTGAATCAAAGCAATTGCCTGGGACAGAGAAGGTCCAAATGAAACCAACTCAACCGGTAGCAAAGCCAGTGTCTTCTATTTCAACTGGTTCAACTCACAAGACAGCTACTGGGCTAGTTTCTTCTCAACAGCAAGCGAAAGGATATCAGATTACAACTCAAGCTCCTGCTCATATAAATGTTCAAAGTTCTAATAGTGGTCAAAGTTCCTGTCTGAAGACAGATGTAGTCTCTTCGTCTTCTTCTGGAAAAGCCACAGACCCTAAGCAAGAAGTGCCTTCTCTCCAAGAGTGAGCAATGCTAATTCAATTTGTTAGACCTTTTATCATTGAGCATAATTATTGTGTACGACTCAGGTTTGTTAATTTTGCAGGGGCGAAAGCAAGGCATCAAAATCATGTGGACAGAAAGATATGCCTGACAACAAGAAATCTGGCCAGAAGAATGACAAGCAGTAAGTTATTTTACCCTTCTTTTGGTATATTTTCATTGTCAACACAATGCTTTCATTTATTTTGTGATTTTAGGCGGACTTTCACACTCTCAGATTTTGACATTGGCAAAGCCCTGGGCAAAGGAAAGTTTGGCAACGTCTATCTAGCACGAGAAAAAACTTCCAAGTTTATTATAGCCTTGAAGGTTCTTTTTAAGTCACAATTGCAGAAGGCAAATGTTGAGCACCAGTTGCGCAGAGAAATAGAAATTCAATCACATCTAAGGTAAATCTTCTGTAATTGATGATTTATCACATACATTATGCAGATATTCATAGTATATATTTTGGTCTGCACATCTCTAACTGTTTTACCTTTGCAGGCATCCTAATATCTTACGTTTATATGGTTATTTCCATGACGAACAGAGAGTTTATCTTATCCTGGAATATGCTCCGAATGGGGAGCTTTTCAGAGCCCTGCAGACACAGCCTTTGAAAAGATTTGATGAGTTGAGGTAATTGTTGCTGTGAGAACATGGATGTCTGATTCTTAGGTATATATTCATTCTCTTAATGCACTTAAATTTTCAGAGCTGCTGCTTACATTCAACAGCTAGCTGACGCTTTGCACTACTGCCATAGCAAAAAGGTTATTCATCGTGATATCAAACCAGAAAACCTTCTTCTAGGTGCAAAGGGTGAACTAAAGATTGCAGATTTTGGGTGGTCTGTTCATGCTCCCAGCTCAAGGTTGGTTGTTAACTGATAGTCTTTTTAGGTGACCTCACATCTTCCTGTTGGAAGTTGTAATAAATTGTGTCTGTTTTGTTCAGGAGAGACACTCTATGTGGTACGTTGGACTACTTGCCTCCAGAAATGGTACAGGGTCGTCCACATGATCACAAAGTTGACTTATGGAGCTTGGGTGTTCTTTGTTACGAATTCCTTGTTGGCAAGCCACCATTTGAGGCAGAAACCTATGAGGAAACCTATGCACGAATCTCCAGAGCCCAGTACTCATTCCCTGATCATGTTTCCAGCAGTGCCAGAGATTTAATTACAAAGGTGAGACTCTTCATTCATCCTGCATTGTTTATGCCATTCGCGTTCTATTATGTTTACCAGTAAATTTTATAAACATCTTTTCATTTTTTTTACAGCTTTTGCAGCTAAATCCAAACAATAGATTATCTCTTGAAGGGGTTTTAGACCATCCTTGGATCAAGGAAAGTGCAAGTCTTCGCAAAAAGATACAAGAAAGCAACTGCCAATCTAAGGGTCAGCCCAATGGGAATGGGAAGCCAATTGCAGCTAAACCAGAACCAGCTGTTTCCAATTAACTCCTCATTAAGTCCTAGTGTAACTTTATAATGGAAGTATTTTACCCTTTCCTTTTGTTAAGGGCTCATGTTGTTTTTTATATATGAAATTGTTTTTGACTTGACATCATGTTGCCATTGTTTTTTCTCTCAAATAGAGAAGCTTGATGTGATGTTGTATTATTTTTCAATGTGTATTTTGTATGTACACATTGTGCTCAGATCGGGAGAAGTTTGGTGATTTCTATTTTTAACATGCTTTTGAAAAAGAGAGAATGTTAGTTTAATCACTGCCAAGTTACATGTAGTTATGTAAATATTAATTTCCAACTTTAGCGATCATGGATGATCCATGCAGTTTCAAATAGATCATCTCCCTTTTTTTACAAACCCCTATTGTATGTAGAAAGCTGATGAAACTTTGTTGTGCAGTTGTCCACACAAATTTAATGTTTTAAAATAACTGTCTTGAAAATGAGTATCTGTGTTATAGTAAAACCTTTTAATTAACTTTGAATGTGTGTAAATTGTAAAAAAAGAATGGAAAATGCTAATGTACTGAGTTGAGTTCATAGACCACAGATTAAAAACAAAAAATGCAATAATTCATTTTTATTAACATTTTATTAAAATATATAATCAAGCACACAACAAAGGTAATAAGCAACATGTTAATTTAAAGCTCTAAAAGTTCATACTTACAGGAGTCATTGTACCATACAAGTACTACAATCCTTAACGCCACGCATTGATCAATTCTTAGTATAATAGTACATAGTCATGGCAAGAATGGAATGAAGCAAATGAAATAAATGTCTTAGGGCAATAGACCCGAGGCTCATTACATCAAGGTTAACATGAATGCAATGCATCCATTCAAAAATACTGATTTTGTCAAGTACTGAAAAGACAGGCTCAGTAGCTGCCTGCCACACATGTTGCCTCTTTGGCATACTAAATAAAGAGAAGGCAGTTGCACCAAGAAAGTGCACACATGAGAAAACTTAACCATATAACAAACAAACAGAAATAAAACATTTAAAAGAGAGTGTTATGTAAACAACAACAAAGACTTTTGTCATAGAAAGGAAACTTGAATGGAATTCAATGCAAAAGAAACAAAATAGTAAAAAACGAGGAAGGTTTCCAGCCCTATAAATGCATTTCCCACAGAGCAAACTGGTGTCCGTATGGTTAACAGTTGAAACATGCGTAGAGATCATAATAATTGATCTGACTTAATATTAACTGTGAACTTATGTCCAGAGTGAGGTTGGCATCATTCCAGTGACAGTACTTGGATTTGGTGTTAGAACCTCATTAGCTAAAAACTCAAGTGGCAATTTTACAAGATGCCCCTGCAAATTAAAAAAAATTAAGATGAAAGTTCATTTTACTAACAAATTCAGTCCACTAGAGGTTCCTTACATACCTTGATTCCTTCAAGTTTCTTCATAGCTGCTACTGGATCAGAGTGGGAAAGAGGTATTTCTTCTTGATATTTCTTCAATGATGCAAAGCTATTAGCTTGATTTGATGGAATACAATGGAATACCTGCAAATTAAAGATATTTTAAATTAAAATACATGGTTTCTTCAACTCTACCCCAGCAGCACTCAACATTGAAACGTGCTTGAAAGGTAATGCATTTTGTGCGCATTTTATGTTGCTTTTAATGCACATTGCGCTCATAATGTGCGCCCAAAAAGCATTACCTTTTACTTGCATTTCAATGCAAAACACTACTGGGGAGGTACAAAATGAAGTTGTAACATTTATTACCTCCTCATAGATGGCAGTATTTTCAACAGCAGTCTGCAGCCAAACCTCACGGTAGAAGAAATCACTTGCAGGATCACTTATATTTACATTTCTATCCGAATCCAGCAACCCAAGGTGTTCACTGAACAAATGACGTCGCAATGATCCTGCATAGCGCCCAGAAACATAATCTTCATGGGCCATAGTACATGGATCAAAGTCTCTATCCTTTAAGAGATAAAAATAATTACTAAAAAAACATATATGACTGCAGTTTGGGAATACACTTGAGTTGCAACAAACCTGAATGTAAACAGCGATTTCTGAGTCCCTTTTCCCAACTAAACTACGATCATTGATGTTTGCGGATCCACAAATTACAATTGCATCATCAGCTATCAAAAGCTTTGAATGAACATAAATAAGTTCAGTTACCTGGAAAACAGTTTTTCGTCACTTTTTATTAAGATTTCATCAAGATGAAGGAGTGCGTTTTTACCAGTTGGCTGGATGGTTATGGGCCAGGAGTACTTACCATACCACCTTGCAAAATGGAATGGTTTCGTAGCCCAAAGAATGAGATATACTCTTCAGTGTCTCTTATACCAGCATCCTTCAGCCGTTGCACCAATGAGTCCTTTCCTCTAATGCACACAAAAAGCATGATAAAAAAGTGAAAATATATTGAAAAAAAAGCAAAAGGACTATGGTAGTTACCTGCAGATAGAGGAGTAATTCCAATGTGTGATAGCATGAAGAGCAGTTCCAGTGCTCTGGCCCACCTCCCCTTCAAATCCAGGAAGAAGAGGCATAACAACAAACACACGAAAAATGCTTCCTTCTCTGATAAAAATAAAAAATAAAAATATGGATGTGTCAGGAACATTGAATTTTTGTTTTTCTACACCAGAACAGACATTTCACTTACTTATAAGCCCTTAGAATCCTTTTGAACAGGGCATCACCCACTTGATTTCGCACAACAGATGCAGCATTGGTACCCTGAGTTATAAAAAATTGATTTTCTATATAAACATAGTGCTTTGCTTTGTTTATGACATCTACATATGCTTCATGAATGCTCTGCTCAACTAGCTCAGAGTCCAAAAATCCTGCACTCCAGCTGCTCACACTTCGAAGAACCTAGAAAACAATACAATGAGTTGCCAAATTTTGAGGACACAACAAGAAGAAGTTGCCAGTGGTTCTGACAATTACCTGGCAATCAACATTATATAATGAAGATCCATCAAAAGGCTTCACATGTGGATTCAATCTCAAATCTTGATATGATTTTGGAAGCAGACAGGGATACATGTGGTTTAGCTTTGCTTTCTCCGTCTGAAATACATTGGGCTAAAAAATGTGCCTTTGACAAAATTAAGTTGGCCACTTGTCACCCTACTTACCTTAACTGCATTCCACCTTTGAATAAAATGCCTCGCAACATCTCTGGCAGCTGCACCTAGCACAAGGGCACCAATGTCATGCCATGGCATTCGAGGTGTGGTTGATCGATCAATAAAGTCTACAAAAAACACAAAAAAAAAAAAGTTTGCACATATTACATAACTGATGTAGGATTACAAAAATCAAGAAATTTATAGAATGTACCTTGATAGGGTAGATCCAAATTGTTAAAATCCTTAACTATAAAGTTTACATAATCTTTTCCAATCCATAATTTTGCTGATCCGCTCAGTCCATCAATAAAAGAATTACCATTGGTCTTCGTTTTTATTCCTTTCTTTTTTTCAGGTCTGAAAAGGAAGTTGAAATGGAATCTTTTCTCATCACCAAGACTTAATCAATTTCAATCTTTAATTGTATTACAACAATTCAGAACTTACTGAGGTTCAACATACACTGGTTTTTCAGCACCTATAAAATCTGAATTAAAGTTTACATTAGTCTGCTTTTGGATGCCATGAGTGTAAGATACTGAATGATCATTTGAATTTGTAGCTAGGTCTGTACTAGCAGTAAATCCTGCATTGTCATCACCAACATGAAACTTATTTAAAATGTCTTTTCCACGAGTTTTCATCTGCAAAATTACATTGTTATGGATGACTTCATGCATTTCACATTATTATCAAATGAGAAAAATTGCCTCACCTTTACTAAGATATTCTTTCTTTGCATCTCCGGGGTGTTTCTTTTTATGTTTTCAGGAACTTGAGAGGCCATAACAAGGTCCTCTTCTGTAAGAATTGGCATCTGTTGCTCTTGTTGCGGTAAAACATCTGGATTAGAATATCCATCATCTGCTTTATTGCTTGGGAACATAAAGTGACAATTTTCAATAAGAAAATGGCTGGACTTCATTTTTAAATTATTTCATACTGTATTTTTGTTATCAGAGCATACTTAGCAGTGGCATTGATTAAGCCAGCACCCACAGCATTTGCAGACGCAGCCAGAGACATAAGGGGTTGAACATTTCCACTGGGTCTGCTTGATGTTTGGCTGCTTCGAAACCCACAACTATTTCTTGAATTTTGTGATATGCTTCCCAAATCAACCAGTCTGGTAAAAAGACAAGATGTGAGTTAAATAAAAATACAATCATAAGGAACTGCAGAACATATCCAGATAGACTACCATTAAAGAAGATTAAATTGCAAGGGATAAAACATTTTTCGTAGGGTGGAGAAGAGATGCAGAAGTAGCATATGCACTCACGGATGCATTGTTTAAAATTGACTTACACATTAAAACAATATACAAGGTAATGATAGGTTGAATTCTGTGCAGGTGGGGATATACGGTGGTTAAGCTGATATTACACTTACCACACATCTCTGTACAGTCCCAATATAAGGAATGTGTGCTTTCCAGAAAAAGAGAGACATTATTGTAGAGAGGCTTTCATTTGAAATTCATGTCAGTATGTGTTTTCCTTAAAATTTTCCCAAACATATAAATATGTTTTCATCTTGCACTGATTTAGTTCAGTTTACATAGCAAATGTATATCATGTTTAAGTTGAATTGCACTCAAAGAGTTTAAATGTTCAAATTAAATAGAAGAGAGATGAGAGACACAACCACAGAAGGTCTCAGTAAGAAGAGCCTTGGAAGCATGGTGACACTTTGCTTTGACTGCAGCCATGCTTACCTATGGTGATGATCATCCCATCTTCCATAGCACAGATCTATGCCTCCAACAAAGGCATATGTTTGGTCAACCACTACAATCTTCTCATGATGAGCCCACAAAAATACCCCAGCTTTAGCATGATCAGGATGTCTGAGAACCTGTGGGAATAATAAACATTATAGTGATCATCATTAAAGTCATCTTAGCTTTTAGTTTAATACATGAGCAGAACTTTGACAACCTTGATGTTTTCAGAATGCCCTTTGACAAGGCACTGTTTGCTGTAGTAACTATTGATACCAAGGGCATATTGTACCTCTTTGTACAACAATACAAAAATTTTCACCCCTTGAGCCTAAACAAAATACACATCAAAAACAAATTAAAACTAATTTAAAAAAAAAAACTTGGATTACAGATGCAGAATTTCAATGTATATTTACTGCTTTACGCTGAATAATTTTATCCAATCTCCAGTGTTCTCCATCAATAGCTGGTCTTTTCATATATATTTCTGGACTTAGCCACCAATCAGCAATGAAGATTTCCTCTTTAGCACTTTCCATTGCATCAGCAACAGCTGCCATGTAAGAGGATCCATCAACAAACCATGAGGCTTGAGTGTCCATACGCACAGGGGCAAAGGAACCCATTCGATTCCGTTGGATGAACTCATGAGCTGTTGCAGTTCATGCAAATAAAGAAAATACAATAAACAATAAAAGGAAGGCATAGTTGAAAAAATATATTGTTAATTGTTTGCACACCTTGGTTGTAAGAAATGTCTCGAAGAAAGGCCATCCATTCCTTACTTTCTCTCCTTGTATCACATTTAATAGCAACTTGTCTGAAACATAAGAAAAAACTAGTTTTAAAAAAAGGTCAAATGATTAAGTTTGCAGGTGAGGAAGCACAAGTATACCTGCTATGTGTAATGACAACCAATCCTCGGTGAAGTCCTGAGGTATATACCCCGGACGAAACTTCAAAACCAGAGTCAATGAGAATAACAGATCGTACTCTACCATCTTTAGGACTGATATAACATAAAAAAGTATCCTTGCATACCAACCAACGGTTCCGCCACCTCCCACAAATATCAGTACACAAGTAACTGCACCTGTTGGGCAAAATGCAAGCATTTACAGAAATTTATGCAAAATAGCTTGGGTGAAGAAAACAATTATCTTGAACAAATTGTTACCTGACACAAATGACAGAATCAAGCAGCCCACAGCAGTTGCATCCTGCTCTTCCTGGTTGGGTACTACCTGTCCTTTTCTTGATCAGTGATTCTTTACCTTTAACACCCAACTCTTTAACAAATGAGAGAGAACTCACCTCCAAAAAGTTAGCCTAAAATATTTCAAAAAATAAAATTTTAAAAATGTTATTTAGAACTGCAACACAAAGAAGAAAAAAATATTTTGGTTTTACTGTTTCATGGTGATTACGATAGATATTGATTCTGAGAAGGTTCCGTAAGTACTCGGTGAGCTCAGATATTCTTCTCTCAACTTGGTCATATCTCAGCAAAGCATCTGGCTTGCTAGGGAACCTATAGAAGGAAATTGTTACACAGATAGACTTGATTTACGTCGGAACAATTTATTAAATGTGAAAGTGAAATGTGTATAACACAGTTTACCTTGGCAGAGAGCTTTTAGATTTTCCCCTATTTCGCCCTTGGTAATCATGTTTGAAACTTGCTCTTCTCTCTTTGTGAGTTTTAGAAGGAAAGGGAATTTTCAAAGAAGTCCTAGACAGAAAAAAAATTAGATTACAAAACCCATATGCTTTCAGATAAGAACTTGATTGATTAATTGTAAACAAACCTGAAAATTTTTAACTGATTATGTAAGTGATGGAAATGCTTATACCGCTTTTGAACAGTCCAAGTAAAATCACCATGTTGAAATTGTATGGTATACCTAAAAATGAGATTCCAGTAATTTTTTGAGAAGTTCAAAAATTGAGCAGGTGATTGAGGAAGTGAGGAAACTTACAAGTTGGGATTTAAAAGATGTGTCGTCACAGTTCTTTCATTATTGATAATATCCACAGCTATTTCCTTGCCAGGAATGAAAACCATTCGCTGAGGTGACTTAAATTTCAATGGAGTGTCATACAAAGACTGAAAAGGCAAAGCCTGCAAAGCTAAAATTTGAACTGATTTATGATTTCATGTCCCCAATGATGTACGAGGAAATTGCGGGATAGCTGTTAGAACTTACAAGAACTTGTGTCAACTCCATCAGATGCTGTAACTGTCACTTCACCTCCATCAGGTGATGTCATCAACGATTCCTCAGGTATGGCCAAATCCTCATCGTAGTCAGAATCGCCATCCCCTTCACCCTTACGTTCAGTCGGTTCTTCCATTCCAGTCTATACAACAGATAAAATTACCACCACAATTTACAAAACAAATTTAATGGTGATTAATTTGGTTTCCAAGTCACGGCTGAATTTATCAACCATTGCATGGAACAACCTGTTGCAGTGCTTGTCTTGTTAAGATAAAAAAAAAACAAAAAAAAACCCTTGTTCAACCTTAGAGCGCACACACCATTAATAGACGTGAGAAAAGTTTCCCTTTGCCGCAAATGCAGCACACCTTGACTCTCTTTATTTGCGGCAAAAATAGAACACCATGGCCTTAATAAGGCATGATCTCATCAGCTGAGCTCATCTCCATTGAAATTTTTCCTTCCAAATTTCCCTGCGAAATTACTTGAAATAAATTTATACGAACATCCTTATCACTGACACTAAGATAACACAGGTGAATCATTCTGACATGGAAGTCATATTTGACAACAATTGTGAACCTTAAACATAGCATTCCTCTAATGAGATAAAGAAAATGCTTACTTGGCAAGAACGTCGCCTTGGAACTACCTAGTGACAATGCTCATCAAAAGGTTGAAAACGAAACGGCTAGGTAAACGGTGACAAGTTGACGTACCCTTCTAAAATGTTCAACAAGTTCTTCTCGAGGGTTTTGTGTCGGATTGTACACGCGCCAGACGCGCCCCACTTCCACCTCCACATCCCCCGCCCCCCGCCCCGCTCTTCCCCTCCCTCCAACCCCCACCCTCCCCCTTCCCCTACGACCTGATTGATTGTTTCAAAGAATCGAGAAGGCAGTGTGTTTGGCCTTGGCAGATTTGTTCAAAAAGTGTGGACGAATAATACCGCGAAGCGAAGGCCAAAAGTGTGGACGAATAATACCGCGAAGCGAAGGCCAAAGTGCCGATCCCGGAATCAAAAATGCGAGCAGTGATTCCATGGGCGGAGGGTGAACTGCAAACGTTGGCGGCTGATCCTCATTCAAGAGTATTTTCAGACCTGAGGAAAATAACAGTCGTGCTGCAGCCATTTCATCTTCAAGATTTGAAGACCGCCGTTCGGGATCTGTTGAATGCGAGCGTGAATTGTTACGACAAGTCGTAAGTGTCTCTTGAAGTTACCCTTTAACATGCCACCAATCGTAGCCTTGGCGTTGGCCAATTATTTACTATAATTTATATTTCTGCTGGGTTTTCTGTGTTCGTAATACTTGATGTGGCAACCAATGTAAGAGGTTAGGTTTCCCATTGTGCACCACGTTTCTTCATGTTTATACCACTCTTCCAGCATATCAAAACTTGAATGCCACCCTGCTGCTTGCCCATTTTCGGATACATATATATTATGTATTTGAGCAAAGCGTATGCCATTTGTCTTTGAGAGGAGAATTATGGCTTTAAAGGGTTTGTCAAGGAGACGTCATATACGAATACTCTCGAGGCTCCTTTCGTTATTTTTTTCATGATAGCTGCAAGCTATCAAGCTAATGTCAGCTGTTTAGGTGTCAGATACTAAAATTTCGCCAAAAACTATTTTTATGTATCACCCTTATGTTGTATGTTGACCAGATCACTGTTCTCAAGGAAGAGGAGCCGCTCATTTTGTTTGAGTAGTATCAAAAACTGTACTGTCTTTTACTTTTGTTAACAGGTTGGATGGCATCTTTTTGGGCTATGACAAGTTGAAAGTTCTTAGCAAATCAGCCTCCGTTTCTGCTGAAAGCAGTGGGGTTGCCATTGAAATTCAAGCAAACTTCTATTCTTTTCGTCCTGAAATTGGCTGTGTTTTGAAAGGTGCGTGTGGCAGTTCTTGAAGTTGCAGTACTTTTGTTACATGTTTATTGAAGTTTCACATTCTTTTGCAGGCATAGTTAACAAAATCAGCAATGACCATGTTGGTATTTTAGTTTACCAGCGGTTCAACATTTCATGCCCCCGACCAGGATCAGATGCTAAATCAGCAAAGTGGATTGGTAACAAAGTTGTAATGCACCAAGAAGTCATCTTTAAACTGAAAGAGAAGAATTTCAGCGGTAAACTTCCTTTCTTTAAAGGAAAAATAATGGATATCGGGTAAGTTTTGAGTTGTTGGCTTTTCCACTGATTCATCTGCTTATGTGTTAAGCATTAATGTAAAGTGTGGGTTTACTTTTCAGGAATGTTGTCACTGGATTGAATGAGCAAGACAAAAAACCTAAGAAGAAGTCGAAGGAAATTGTACCTGATGAATCTAATTCAACTGAAACTTCTAGTCAAGTTACTAAGAAGAGCCGCAAGCACAAGCTGGATCAGTCAAATGAAAATATAGAAGTAAAAGCTAAAAAATCCAAAAAGGAGGTCGAGACTTTGAAAAGACCGGTAGAGAAGGATGCTGATGTTTCTGTTGCTGCATCAGAGTTATCTTCATCTAAAAAGAAAAAGAAGAAGGTTAGCATAGGCTCAGTAGATGAAACAGATTTCATTCCAAGATTTTCATTAGATGTCAGCCAATTGCCTGAGGATTTGCCTCCCCCAAATGCAGATTCTACTCATTTTGATTTAACTAAGAACCTTTCTGTAAGCTTGAAACAGGACAAAAAGAAGAAAAAAGCTAAAAGTTCTGATTTAACAGCAATCGGAGAGGAATCAGCCGATGGATCTAAAGTTAATTCTAAACTTACTGATAAGAGTCAACAACCAAGTGAAGAAAAGCCCAAGAAGAAATCGAAGACCAGCATTCAAGAACCTAGTCCTTCTGCTAGTGAAGATGCTCATTCAGTTAAGACACCCAAGAAAAAGAACTTAAAAGAGACAGTTGAATTGAATTTACTGCCCTCTAGTTCTAAGAAAATTTCCAAGCAAGCAGAGGCTACTGCTAAAATTGTTGAGTCCCCTTCTGTGAAAGATAAAAAATCCAAAACAGCAAAAAGTGTTAACGATTCTCAGCTGAGTGCTGTACCTCAAAATGATACCCACCATAGCAAAGGAAGCATTAGTATTGAAGTAAAGAACCCACTTTCACCATTGAAAGACAAGAAAAAGTCTAAAGAGGATAAAACTTCACCAACCAAGGAAAAGAAGTCAAAAAGAGAGAAGTCTCCTAGTAAAGAAAAGATGAAGGAAATTTCAAGTTGTAGCCTGACATCAGAAGACCTTTTTCCTCCTGGGCAGAGGTCATTTAGAGCATCACCCAAGAAACAATTTTCTCCCCGTAAAGATAGCATAGCTCATTCTCCGGAACTTGAATACTTTTCTGTGAGTAGGAGTATGATGGACTCTGAGCTAGGTACTAGAAGTAGTGGGGGACAGGTTCGTTTGATGTTTGGAAGTCTGGAAGGCAAGATTCCTGGTCCTCCTGAAAGCCCCATCAAGTCCTCAGCTGCCAAGAAGGTGGATAGTGACAGTGATTCAGACCCCCCACCACCCAAAAAGTTGGCCAGCCCCATCAAGTCCTCAGCTCCCAAGAAGGTAGAAAGTGACAGTGATTCAGACCCCCCACCACCCAAAAAGTTGACCAGCCCCATCAAGTCCTCAGCTGCCAAGAAGGTGGATAGTGACAGTGATTCAGATTCTACACCTCCCAAAAAGTTGGTTATTTCATCAAAATCTAAAGACTCCAGTGATTCGTCTGATGCAGAAAATGGGCTGGCTGCTGTTCGAGCGAAGATGGCGCCACGGAAACTGTCTGAAGATGATTCTGATAACAGTGATTTTGAGACTGCGGTCCAAAACAGACTTCTTCTGTCTATGGGTGTTATGCAATCCCCTTTCAAAACTGCCACACCAATTGTGAATCATGGCTCTTCTGAATCAGAAAGTGATGGGAGTTCAGATGAAGACAGGTTGCCTCGCAAGGTCGCAAATATGAATAGTGCTAAAACTGAGCATGTTCCTAAAGGTACACAGAATCAAACCAAAGGACAAGAAAGTGATAGTGATGATGATTTGGATGCAATAAGAGCTGCCATGCTGAAAGTAGCAGAAAACAAACAGACTAAGAACAAACCCAGTAAAAGCAAGCCATCCAAGTTGGCTCCTAATGCTGCCTGTTCTAAAATGTCCAGTCCTGAGAAAAAATCAATATTGAAGAAAAGTGAGAATGTTTCTCAGAAGAATTCCAAACCAAATGATGAAAGTGACAGTGACATAGATGTTATCAAATCTGCTATGGTGAAGGTTAAGGAGATGGCATCAAGTGAGTCCTCTCTTCCCAAAGCCACACGGGGGAAGAAGTTAAAATCTGAGAATCAGGATGTGCCAGCCAAAAAGTCCAAGGCTGCTTCTGCAGAGAAATCCAAGTTGAAGCTTGATAATAAGATTTCAACAAATGTTTCCCAGGAATCTTCCAAAGATCTGAAGAACAAACCTGACACTGATGATTCAGACAACGATGAGGTACTGAAGACTGCCATGCAAACCTTGGCTCCAGTTAGCAAAAAGGAGAAATCGAAGGCAACCCCTGTCAAGAAATCTCAACTGAAGTCTAGTGAAAGTATTTTAACAAGTGTTTTCAAAGTGAACACACCTGACTCAGATGATTCTGATGATGGCGAAAATGAAATAATGAAGGCTGCTGTCCAGGCAGCGCTTAAAACCAAACTTGATCAAAAGTCCAAACGTGAAAATGCGAATGCTTTAATTAAGAAGACTAAGGCAGCTCCTGCTGAAAAAACTAAGCCGAAGCATAGTACTAAGACTGATTTGAAGAACATACCTGACAAAGATGATTCAGATGATAAAGTTAAAAATCAGGCATTGAAGGCAGCTATACAAAGCTTGTCTCCAGATCGCAAAAAGGAGAAATTAAAGGTATCCCCTGTCAAGAAATCTCAACTGAAGTCGTGTGAAAGCATTTCAACAAGTGTTTCCAAAGTGACTTCTAAGGGTCCGAAGATCACACCCGACTCAGATGATTCTGATGACGGCGAAAATGAAATAATGAAGGCTGCCATCCAGGCAGCACTTAAAGCCAAACTCGAGCAAAAGTCCAAACGTGAAAATGCAAATGCTTTAATTAAGAAGACTAAGGCAGCTCCTGCTGAGAAAACTAAACTGAAGCATAGTTCTAAGACTGACTCTAAGAACATACCTGACAATGATGATTCAGATGATGATGCTGAAAATCAGGTGTTGAAGGCTGCCATGCAAAATTTGACTTCAGTTAAGAAGGGGAAAGATAAGACTGCGAAAGGAAAGAAGATACTTAACAAGAGTGAACCTGAGCCTTCTGAAAAATCAAGTTTGCCTCGTGTTTCAAATATTAGTGGCATATCCGATGATTCTGACTCTGGCCCAGATGATGTTAACACTACACGCAGTATTGAGGAAATGAGGCAGAGACAATCTGCAGCCAAAGCAGTGAAACCAGCCAAGAACCGGAAGAATTCTGACGGTGAAAAGTCATTGATGGTCAACAGTTCAAAATCTAGTTCAAAGAAGAACAAACCAAATGATAAGTCAGCTTTGGCTGACATGCAAAGTGATTCTAAAAAAGGCAAAACTTCTAAAGGAAATACTAGTAAAAGGATACCTAATAGTGAAAAGAATCAGAAACCTAGGGGTAAGAAAAAAGCAGGATCAGATGATGAAATATCCAATGTGATGCAAAGATTATTGAAAAAAGCTCAATTGGGCAAGTTGTAGACGACTTACCCCTCCAGCTTGAATTCCCTTCCGCCCCCTCCCCAAATCACTATTTTACTGAATTTTTGAGTACAAATATTTCAAGTGAGTAGAGAATTTTATTTTTGACGCGTATGTTGAATATCATTGGTGTGTTTTTCATTGCAAATCCAGTAATTGTTATTTTTGTGCATAAGGTTACATCTTCTGTTAAAGTGTCATATTGTTGTGTTACATTTGGAGACAACTATGCATCTCCAATTTTTTTTTTAAATATATTTTTGTAATGAAGTGCAATATACTGTGTCATTTATGTTATGTATTATATGTTTTGTTTGTTTTGCCTTCTTGCATTGTGACAAATTGCACAGATAGATTCATCAATTTTATTGCTAAGTTCATGGTATTGTTGACTGACTAATTAGGTTTTATGTTCTATGGTTTGGGAGATCTCAGATTGCTACGAAATGAATTCCTGCTGTTTCATGGCACACACGCAAATTGTATTTTTCGTGATTGTTCTTTATGAAAATGTTCAAATGTAAAGGAAGTAAAGAGCAGCGTGCACTTTAATTATATTCTTTCTTTGATTTTTTTCTGCTTTCCTACAAAAAACAGCCGCCCTCAAACATTTTAGAATCTTTCCCACTAGCATGAGAGGTTGTAGGGCAACAGGGTATTAGAAGACAACTCAGGGACTTAAACCCATTGAAAGAATGTACATATTTTAATTAAATGAGCAAAGCAATGAAAAAAAAAACAGACTTTGAACCACATTACTTCGTGTTCCTAGGAATGGAATGCAGTTTATTGGAACTGGCTGCACTTGGCAAGTCTTGGGTCGAGTCGACGCGCTGGACCTCATGGGAGGGGCCAGGGTAGACCGGAGAAGTCGACTGGTCCGCCCAGCCCCGCGTCGGCCTCCAGGAGGCTCATGATGACGGCCATGGCCGCCTCGTCGTTGCCGTCGTTGGACGCGCCCTGGCCCGGGGACTCTGGCATGACGGGGCCCATCATCTCCAGCATGTCGTCCTCGTTGGCGAGGCCGGACAAGCCTAAAACACACACACAGCCTTCTACCGAGCGTCACGGGCTGCTGCTGGACTTGGGGTGGTTGGGGCCCGGTTGGGGCTAGGCCCGACTCGAGCCCTCGTTTCTTTCCGGGTATCTGACGGGCTTTAAAACCAAGGTTGGTCACGGCCAAGGCCATGAAAGGTGGGGTGGTTGTGTTCGATTGCTACGTACCTGGGTCGGGCGTGGCGAGGCTGGACAGCGTCACGTTGTTCCTGATGGAGGAGTAGGCCGACGGGTCCACGGTGCTCGCCGAGTGCGCGATGTTGACACCGTGCTGCCGCACGTCGTGCCGCACGTCGTGCCGCATGGCCGTCTCCGTGGTCGCGTCCTGGCCGCTGGTGCTGCCGTTGCTGCCGGCCGGGAGGGAGGGGCTGACCTGGCTGGCGGGGCTGGCCGGCAGGGGCAGCGGGGACTGCAACGCAGTGCAACCGACACGGTGTAAGTGAGGCCAGTGACGTCAGGCACCCCACGACCCCTCGCGGGTCAACTGCAAAGCCCTGCAAAGCCCACCTGTAGCGTCTTGATGTCCTTGGCTTCGTGCTGGGGGCTGGCGAGAGGGTCCTGCCCTGAGCCGGGCCCCGGGCCGGAGCCAGGCGGCCGCCCGGTGTCGGACGCCATGCTCGGGGACTGCTTGCTCTGCAACAGCGGGCGGCGGGGCGGGGCGTGCATGAGAGCGACGTGAGACGCGAGCACCGTGGTGCCGTCCTTGGCCTTGCCGAGCCTTACCTCCGCGGGGCTGCACTCCTGGTGCGCGGGCGACGGCGTGCTGTTGGACGACGAGTCCCCGTTGCCGCGGAGTCGCTGCGAGTCGAGCGCGTCGTCCGCGATCTTGCGCCCGATCTTGCTGGCCTCCACGTGCGACGAGATGATCCTCTGGATGTCTCGCTGCAGGTTCACGTCCCTGACGCCGGCTGTGGGGGCACGAACCAGGCGAAGCTCTGAGTGTGTTTCGTCGTTCTGTCCCTCTCTCGCCGATAGGAAACGCCCCATGAGTGCGAGAGAGACAGAGGAACGGCAGCATAAGCAACACCCTGCACGTTAGGCAACCCGATCGTCTCGAGGGCGAAGCGGGCTTGCCTACCCTGCGCAAAGCAGGCGCTCAACGCGACTTAAGTGACGCACGCGGCAGTGACAGTGACGCACGGCGGAGCAATGTACCACACACACACACACTTACGCTGCGAGAATAAATCGTAGCCCGCCTGGAAGCGCGACGTGCCGCTGAGTTTGTGCCTGGACGCCGTCATGTCCATGTGCCTGCCGTCCGTCCTGCGGTCACGTCGAAGAGAGCGTCATTAGTGCCTCGGCTCGTCTCGATTTGCCACACGGCAAAAGAAAAACCAAAAAGAGAAACAGTGCGGGTGTACTCACATGATCACAGAATTTTTTGCTATTAAATACTCTACATCTTTGGTCCACGGGTTTTTAAACGCCTTCCACTCACTTTGTATGCTAATGTAGGATCCTTCCTTACTTCTAAACCAGTACACCTGCGCGCAGGGAAACATCCATGAGACAACCGGCCAAAAGTGAAGATCTGAGTGGACATTTGGGACGGCGGGCGGTACCTTGGTGGTGACCACGTCGGTGGCGTTGAGCGCCGCCTTGTGGGACTCGGCCAGGTGCGGCACGTCCTCGGGGTGGTAGTACTCGTACATGGAGGTGCCCAGCAGCTCCTGCGGCAGGAAGCCCAGCGCCAGCGTGGCCCTGCAAGCAAGCAGCACGCCGTTGAGCGGTAGGGCGGCAGGGTCGGCAGGACGACGTCAAGCGCAGCCTACTCACCGCTGGTCCACGAAGAGGAACTTGCCGTCCATGGCGTGGCGCGAGGTGAACTGCAGCGGCCGGGTGTTGGGCGGCCTGCGCCCGGGCCGCGGCCTCGGGGGCGGCGAGAGGATGGGCTGCAGGCGGCCCACCGCCACGAGGCACGACAGGCACGCGCCGCCCGCCCCCGCGCCGCCCTCGCCCTCCACCAGCTCGGACTCCTCCAGGCCCATCTTCTCCGGGGCCCACGACTTGAGGTAGCCGGTGCACTGGATCACGCTGTACTTGCGCTCTGGGAAAGAAAAGGCGGCACGTCAGGGGTGAGGGCGCTTGGGTGCTTCTGAAAGGAACTGGCGCCGAGAAGGCAGTGTCCGCCGACCTGCGCTGTGAGGCTTCTTCCTCCGGGAGCACGACGTGGTGTCGGCCTCCTCCTTGACGTGCGTGGGCAGCTTGCGCTTCATGCGGCAGAAGAAGGAGCGGCGCGCGCCGGGGCACAGCCGCGACCCCACGGCGGGCATGTCCGTGCGCACCGGCAGCATCGCTGCGAGGCAAGGCCAGGCCGGCCAGCGGTCAGTCGGAGGGAGACAGACAAACAACCTCAGCTCCACGCCACTGTCACTTACTTTTGGCGTCGATGAGTCTCTCCCTGGGACTGAGGTCCGAGGCCGACAGCTGCTCCTTCACCTTGGCCACATCCTTGGGGTGCAGGATGTCGAACCAGCTCTGGCCGAGGAGGTCGCCCTGTAACCGGCCAGACAGTGAGGGCTAGCTGCGCGTGCGGGCCGGAGCGCGGAGCACCGCATGGGGTCCGAGAGCCTGCACGGCTGCACCCACCTGTGAGAAGTTGAGCACCTGCGAGACGGACTCGGAGACGAAGAGGATCCTGCCGCGGTCACATCCCACTACAAAGAGAAAGCCTTCAGCTGTCTGGAACAGAGCGCACAGCGTGGTCATAGGGCCCCATTCCCTGCCGGCATGCCCAGGGTTGCCCAGGGTTGCCCAGGGTTGCCCAGGGTTGCCCAGGGTTGCCCAGGGTTGCCGGGCCAGGTTGTGGCTACTGCATGTGGCCATTCCGAGCCGACGCGACGGCAGCGCTTATTTTGGTATACTCAGCAAAGGATACATAAAGCGAACCCCGTCCCGAGAATAACCCTGTTGAGCAGCACCCGGGACGGGGGGAGAGGGGAAGGGGTGGAGTGGATATCCACCACCCCTTTGTCTCTGCTTGTTATGTTCATCTGCGAGTCCGCGAGGCCAAGTAGGGCGAAATAATAGAGTTTCTGGGAACTGAAGCACGCGAAGCACGCCCTGCCCCTGAGCCCCCGTTCCCTCCCCAGCACAACGACATGGCTTCGTCCGCTTTAAGTTTTTGACTTTGGTTTGCTTTTGGGGTGGCGTACCTGCAGGATGAGGTGCTTGAGCTCCTGGTCCGACAGGAAGGCGGGCTTGTAGTGGCCCTCCGTGTACGAGTGCACGGCGCCGCGGATGGTCTTGAGGTGCTGCACGGCCATGCGCAGCACGGTCAGCTTGTCCAGCTTGCGCGACATGGCGTGGCACATGGGCACCATGGCGGACAGCTCGGTGATGTACGTGTTCATCTTGTCTCGCCGCCGCTTCTCGATCTCGCTGTGGTTCTGCCTGCAAGTCAGACGCACCCGTCAAGTTGCAGTGTCGCTCGCTTCCGCAGTGCCGGCCTTGGGCAGGGCAGGGCCTTGGGCAGGGGGTTGATCGGGGCGGCCGGGAGGGAGGCCGCGGTGCGGCCGTGGGGTGGGGCGGGGAAGGGGTTGATTTAAGAGCCGGGCGACCACGCCGAGGCCGACAGGCCGACACCAGGAAGGCGGCGTCGGGTCGGCGTGGCAGGGCGAGGCCTTGGGGTGTAGGGCTTCCCTGCCCGGCCTGCCAGCCTGCCAGTGACGTCACCAGGTGAGCGGGCTAGCACTGCCAGCCGCAGAGCCGCGCATACTCACTTCTTGTCGTCCGTCCGACACGACTTGCCGTCCTCCGTGTCGTCATCGAAGTCGCTGCCGTCGCTGTCAACAAGAACGCCACAATTACAGCACTCTGCCTGCCTAGCCGGCCCGGCGGCCTGGCCGTGTCATCCCTTTGTGTCGTAACGCAGCAGCGCGGGCAGAGAGAGGGAGCACAGACAAATAGGGGCCGCGGACAGCCGCGGACAGCGGGAACAGTGAGGGAAAGAGAGAGAGAATGGGGGAAGAATGGCGGCGCGGCAGGGCGCGGCAGGGCGGCAGGGCGGCCGGAGCGGCCGAGCCCCTGCAGCGTAGGCAACGCGTCTGCCAGCAGCACTCGGCTGTGCGCGCGCGGCCTACCCTGCAAGGCGCCATGCCCCAGCGCACGCCGCCCGCCAGCGCCTGTAGTCCTCTCTCTCTCCAGCTGGTGCCGCCAGAACGGCCAGGATACTCACTGGTACGACCCCTTGCGCTTCTTGGACAGGTTCCGCGTCGAGTCCACCTGGGGCGGCAGCTCCATGGCGTGGTCCATGACGTGGTCCATGCCCGCCTGGTGCGGCCCGCACTGACCCAGGGCGCCCAGGCTGGGCCCGGGGCCCGGACCGAGGCCGTCCAGGTCGTCGTCGAGGCCGCTGCCGCAGCCGCCGCCAGTCCGGGGGCCCCCCAGGTACATGGAGGTGTGGGCGGAGCACGAACTTCTGGAACATAACACAACATATGCAGCGTGGCGTCTGCGGCGCGGGGAGGGGGAGGGGAGGGAGGAGGGCTGGTAGCGCGTAGCGCCTCGGAACCGTTTTGTCCCTGCTGCTTGAATATGGAGAGCGAGGCGAGGGCCGGCCGACGAGACACGCCGCGACGTTGTCGGGTTCCTTGCGTTTAAATCTCTGGCAGCATCGGGCCGGGGGCGGCGGGGAAGGCAGCCTACGCCGCCTCGCTGCAGCCCGCCGCTGCCCGCTGCACTCTGCATGCACGGGCCACGCGGCAGGTATGGGGGCGCTGAGGGTCACAGCGGGCTGGCCGATAAGCCAAGCCGACGTGGAGGCCCCGAGGACGGGTGCCCTGCGACATTGCTCGGCGTTCGGCGCACAAGCGGACCCAGTCCCAGGTCCACTTACTCGTTGGCCACGCTGGAGGTGGCCTCCACGTTGGTGGCGGTGGTGGTGAGCTCGTAGTACACATTGTGCTGCGGCTGGAGCTGCTGCAACTGCTGCAGCTGCTGGAGGTGCGCCGGCTTGAGCTGCTCCAGCGGCAGGTACTCGTCGCGGTCGTCCTCCAGCTCCAGCAGCTCCGAGTAGCCGCCGTCGTCCTGGGAGTGGCCGGCGTCGCCGACGTGCGACATGTGCCCTCCGTGGCCGCCCTGCGAGGGCGCCGTGTTGCCGAAGTTGCGCGCCACCATGACGGACACGGTCTAGCAGCGCGCGCCCCGCGCACGGCCCACGCACACGCCTAACGCACGGCGCGGTCCTCGGAGGCCGCTAGCGCCACCGCCTCCCCGGCGCCGCCGCCGCGACGTGAGCGCATCGCCGAGCTGAGCAGAAAGGCCCGGGTGATGCGAGGACGCCGACGGACGGCGCTGTTTTTGGGGAGGGTCACCCCTCCCCCCCCCCCTCTTTGCGTCTAGCCCGCCGCCCCTGCCAGCGCCAGCGCCATGACTACATGGGTTACGTAAGGCCCTCAAAGGCTTGCTCAAAGGGCCGGTCTGCCGGTCTCGGAACCCCGCGGCCGGCAAGGGACCAAGGGGACGGGGTGGCTGTGCCGCTGTGCCAGGGGCGGCCTGGGCGCGCGGGGGTGGCGCGGCGGCGGTCTGGACCAGGACCTGGGTCTTGTTGGCGATGATGCGCGCCGCCAGGGCGTGGCGTGGGGGCGTGGGAGCTCAGAAAAAGTGGAGAGACCGAAACCGACTCCCTCAACCCAAACTTGCGCGCGGTGCGCCCCCGCCGAGTCCCCTGGCCCAGCTGGCGTTATCAGCGAAATGGGATCCGGGCCATTCTGGCCACACCGACGGGGAGCATCGCGAGGAGAGCGGCGGGAACGTTATGTATTTCCCGAGCAGCACCGCGACGCCTAAAGCGTATTGCGTAACTAACGAGTCAGGCCGAACGGGGCAGCCAGGAGCAGCATGGAGCGAGTTTTATTACGAACACTTGTTATAGAAAGACAACAAAAGTGACCTTCCTCTGCCCTGCCACGCGCAAAAACGCACCCCCACGAGGTCCCTGGGAACTAACTGGCTGCTGGGTAAGGACCGGCACGCACGCAGTTCGCACTGAGAGACCCAAGAGTCAAGAGACCGGGCAATTCAGTTTTCCCTGCAGGCCTGCAGGCCCATCACAATACTGAACCACCAGGGCCAAAAAAAAACAAACCGCGGTGCTCCGCGGGACTACACGGAACTAACTATCCAGCGCTACGCGGTGCCAGCGCGACCAGCTTTATGTACATGTTGAATGCGCGGGTGTTGCGCGTGGGCCGCGGAGTGCGCCGCCAAACCGAACCCAACCGGCTGGGAATCGAACCCGCGGCCCGCCGCTGGCCGCGTACGAGGCTCAAGGGGTGCACGGGGTGGGTCGCGCGTCGCGAGGCGCTGGGCTTGGCGGCCCGACTGGCGGAGCGGTGTGACCACCTGAGGAGCCACAGCAAGGGACTCTGCGCCCGTCCGCCCGCCCGACCCCGCCCCGCCCCGCCCCCCAGCCCCCAGCGCCGCCTCCCCTGCGCGTGCGCGCGCGCCGGCCGGGCAAAGGCGGCAAAGGGGTGCCGACGGCGAGGCGGTGCCGCGGCGAGGCTGCACAGGTGCACTGGAGGCACACTGGCGTGCCGACTGGAAGAAACCTAATTAGGTTCCATTAGCTCGCCACCGTTTCCCCGCAGAAACCTCAAATCTCACCCCGACTCCCGCCGCTGTGGATGCGGGCTTCCCCTAGTGGCCTCCGAGCCTCTCGGGTTCGCGTTCCTCACCACTTCTAGTGGACAGGAGCGCGAAGTTGCCCCGCGGTTCACGCCCTGGACACGGCCCCGCTGGACTGCCCATCTCTACCCCGTCGTCAAGGTGCAAAAGGACGTCGCGGTGTTCGTATTTCCGCTTCCCAGAATCGTCACCGCCTCCGCCAAAGCCGAAGCCGAAGCCTCGGCGCGGTGCTCGGCGGGGCCTTGCCGCCTGCCGCTGGGGCCGCGGGGCGAAACGCGAGACGGGGCCGCCCGTGACGCAAGGCGGCGAGGCGGCGAGGCGGCGGAGGCGGCCCGGGTCCAGGACAACCAGGACCAGGACGACGAACAGCGAGTACTTACACTGCTCCGCGGCCGTTGCAGCTCCAGGCGTCGCTGCTGCTGGAAGGTCGGCCCCGTCGGCGTCCAGAGTCCCCGGAGTCCCCGGAGTCCCCCGAGTCGCTCGAGTGCCCCGACGACGCGGCCCCCCGTCCGCGGCCCGCAGGCCCCGCGGCCATGCCGGGGCCGGGCTGGCCGGGCGCGGCGCCGGACGGGGACTCGCCGCAGCACTGCAACAGAGGCATCTTCGTCGATTGGCCCGGATACACGGACAACTCCAAAGGGAGTGTTTGCTGAGGGAACGGCTTCGCGCCGTCAGCAAACCATTCCCTCATTCCGAAAAAAAGAACAACAACAACGACATAAAAACAACAGAGAAACAATGTCGTCGATGTGCTCAGAAATGATGAGATAAGGAGGGATGGTGCAGCTACTTCCTCGAAATAATTTGCACGTCGAAATAAACCGGGGCACAAATGAGGGAAAAACAGACGACGGCGCGACGGGGATGGCCAGGGACGGCAGAGGCGGGGTGCGGCGGGGCGCGGCGTAATGAGATCGGTGATTGGGTGCAACCTGATCTGTGATTGGCCGCCTCGCCGCCAGGCAGCGCCACGCGGAGCCGAGCGGAGCGGAGCGCCAGCGTCGGAAGAGCAACACGACCTTTGAGAAGGGCAATGGCAATCCCCCTCCTCCTAGACTCCCACCTGCACCTCCTGGAGCGGCTCGTCTGTCGCATGTGTTACAACGCATTAGCTCGACAGGCGAGTTGTGGTTGGTCATCAACTGCAGTACCCGAAAAGTAAGAACAACGCGAGAGACGCGGCGGCAGCGCGGCAGCTCCATGCTGATAAGCAGCGCCGAGTGCAATGAGCGGTGGCCAGCCGGCCGGCCGGTGGTGGTGGTGGTGGAGGCAGTGGTGGTGGAGGCGGTGGTAGTGGCGCACGACCCGGGGCGCGGCAAGAGAGGTGAGAGAGGCGAGAGAGGCTAGAGCGCTTCTTCAAGGCCGCCGTCGTCTTCCCACAAGTCGGGATTCCCCTGGATTCCCCTGGATTCCCCTCGCGTCCCCCGCGTTCACGTGTGTCGCGCGATTTGCCACCGCAGTTTGTTGTCCACGACGGATTGACACGAAGCGAGCCGGCGCGCAGTCACGGCCAGCTCGTCCAAGTCACGAGACCAGCTCTTCGCCTTCGCGGCTTCGCCTCGCTGAGGCGTTCGGCCCCGAGTCCAGAAGTTGATTGGGAGGGGAGGGGGAGGGGGGTGCGTCTGGACCAACCCCTGCCTTACGTCACGGCGCAAACAGACGGCGTGGCGCCGCATGGAGCCCAGTTTCCAAGTGTTTGCGACTGCCGGTGTGCCGTGCGCACGGGGTGCGCTGTGGTCTGCCGACGGGCAAGGAGGATGTGTTGCGGACGCTCGGCCTCAGCCGTGCATCCCCTCCACGCCACGCTCGCGTTTCACCCCCCAATGGTTTGCGTTGGCTCTGTTTTCATCCCCGCGTGCGGCCCCATTCTGATTCTGACATTCGCACGATCCACCCCACAGCAAAAAAAAAAGGGTCAGCTCATAAGCATGAAAGCAGATGATACGTTTCATTTCATACGGTGTCCGTCACGTTAATTTTCATCTAGCCAAAAATTATTCCTTAGAAAGAGGATCTGAAAAATACTCTGAGGTGCTCTGTGGAATACCAAAAATATAACCTAACATCAAAAGCAGTCTGCACGACATCAAAAACACTCCACGAGACATCACATGCCGTGTAGTGGTGCGGGCAGGGTGCGGGCCTGCGGCTTGCCGGGACTAACCTCATGGGGCCGCCTGGGCGTCAGGTTTAAAGTTGCCACCACAATTTTGGCGGCGGCGTTGCGGAGAGGCGGCCCTGGTGGCTGCCCTCTGCCGCGGTGTCTTGGCGCTGGTACGCCGGCTGCACGAGAAGCAGACCCCTCGGGCCGAGGGGGGAGGCGCGCGGCGAGGCGCGTGGCGACGATCGAGTCGTCAGCCGGTGTGCAGCGAGGGCTGGTGGCTCTCCTCCCGCGGCACGCGTCGCACGCTTGGCGGGCAGCAGGGCGGGACGGCCAGGGCGGCACACCGTGAGGACGTCATCGCCCACGGCAACCTGGCGAGGACAAATCAGAACGGAGTGGCGTTAGTCAAGCAGGCCCGCTGTCGCTAGAGCAGGCAGGTGGCCTTGCGGGCCGCCACCAGCACACTGATTGCTGTCGGCACCTTGTCTCTCTCGCACTCGTGGGGCACTAGACAGAGGGACCGAACGCTGTGCGGAATCAGTCTGCAGGGAGTCTTGTTATGCTGATGAGGTGCCTAATGATCGCGGGGACGCAGGCAGGCAGGCAGGCTGGCAGGCAGGCAGCGGGGCGAAAAGCGCGCGAAAAAGAAAGAGATAGACGCGGATCGCCTCCTGGGCCCCGCCACGTCCCGCCACGCCCCGCCATTGATCGGAGGCTTCCCGTCCAGCTGGTAGGGACCCTACTGCTCGACCCTATTCCCTTTTCTCCAGCGATTTATGAAGCAAGCCCTTTGTGTTTGCACTCCCCGTGCAGCCCTTGCCGGCCCTCACCGGGCCTCACCTGGAGCCCTTAACTCACGCTCCGTTTGCCCGCCACATGCGGCCCCGGCCCTGCCCGGCCCTGCCCGTCCAGGCTGACGGGTACGACGGGGTGGCGCAGGCGGCGGCCGAGCGGTCCCCGACGGGGCCTCGGGCCTCGGCGCTAATGAGAGAAACTGTAATGGGTAAGAAGCCATACCGAGTCCATTCGGCGCTCGAGCCGTCGTGGCTTTGCGTGGCTTGGCTGGCTTGGCTGGCTTGGTGGAGCGGACCGCCCCTCCGTCGCTTTGCCGCTACGACGTCGCCGCCGTGGAGGCGGGGAGATTTTACGAGAACGTTAAATACGTGGGCGACAGGGCGCCGCGTAGTCCCGCCGAAGAAGAGGGAAGGGCTGCGGACCGGCCCGGTGGCGCTCGGAGGCAGCGCTGTCCCGGTCTGCTGGACGAGTGCGGAGCGCTGCTCTTGTCCTCCTCGGCCGGAATGCACCAGAACGTCATGCGAAAGCATGGGGAAGCGGCGTCGGCGGACGGAAGCGAGATTACCGAAAGTCTTTGACAAACACGCGCACCACGACCACGCCGCGCCACGCCACGCCACGCCCAGTTGCAGCGTCGCAGCAGCAGCGGCCCCAGGCCCCACTGAGACGCATCGGAAAGATCCCGAACGGAGCATCTCGGGCAGTCGGCCACGGCGAGGGGCAACAGGGGCGGCCTGGGGAGCGGACGCGGCGCGGCGTGCACACCCCGTGCAGCGCGTCGTGTGCAGACTGCAGGCACACTGCTGGCAGACTCGCGTGCCGCCCGGCTTCGTCCATTGCCCTGCCGGCCTGCCGGCCTATCGCACCCATACGGACGCATAAACACGTACACACTCTCACACTCGCGTGCACACAAACGCGCTCGCTCACGCACACACATACAGGGCAGTCGTCATTCAACAGTTCGCTTACACGCGTCCATTTTCGGAGCTGGCCTGCATATCATTAGGCGAGGTAGGGACCTTCTCGTTGGCGCCTGTGACCCGGCCCGGCCCGGCCGCCCTGCCCGGCTGTCTGCCCGCGCGTCTGTTTGTCCGCTGCTCGGCGCCTTCACGGAACGCACCAGAACTCTCTCCGTCTTTCTCCTCCTCCGCGTGGACGACGCGGCCTGCGGCACGCACGCACCGCGCCGGCCGCCCCGCCCTGTGCCGCGGGTGGCCTACCCGCCCCGTCTGTTGTTCGCACAGTTCGCCCTGGGCTGCCCTGGACGCTGTTGGGCAACCGGTGTCACTCTGACTCCACGCCCTGGCGGCCCGGGCGCATTTGTTGTAGTCCGCGCGTTTTCGCTGATTCCTCGTCACGGTTCGTCACAATGCGGCCAAACGTTGCCCCGGGTGGCGCTGATAAGCGTCACGGCCGACGACCCTCAATGATCAAAGAAGCCAGCCGGTTACGTAATGGCACTGCGAACGGCTGTCCCCATGGGGGCCACGCCGCCCCCATGTCACCGCTCTGTCACCCTCGCGCTCGTTGGGCGTCCCGTATCGGTGCGAGAGAGACCGATTTGAAGATGCGTCGTGGGTTGGCGACGCCACTGGATTGCCTGCCCGGGGCTCCGCGCGGCCCCGCTTGCAGCGCGTTGTGGCGGGCGCCGCCTTTTCAAGGTTAGGTTAGGTTACCTCCACGCAATTTGGGGTCGAAATTCGAGCGAGTCCTTCCGATAAGCCCCCCAGGCGGCTCCCCCGACCCGCGAGGCTGAGATGCCGACTGGCGCCTGGCTGTGAGTGCGAGAGGGAGAAACTCCCGCCCGACGTCAGTCTGCCGCCCAGCACGAGGTCCTCGGCGTGCTCGTCTCGTTGTCATGCACCGGCAGCGTTATCGGCCGTCTCCATCGAGGGACTCTCAGTCAGCGTGGAAACCCCACCGTCAATACCCCGCGCGCAAGTCAAGGAGGTGCGCGAAGGCCGAAGGGTTAGCTTGGAGAGCGGCCCTCGCGCGGGGAGTAGCGACGGCGCCACTTTCTTGCGAAGCCAATCACAAGTAACGCCCCGCATTTAGCTTTTAATGAGCTGGCCAAATGAGGCGGTACAGGCCGCGCCCAAATTGAGATTTCGGCCACGTTACGCAAGGCGGCGTGGCGTGCTTCTGGCCGGAGCTGTACTGGGGCCTGGGGCTTTGGAAGGCTACTGGAAAATTCCAGGCGGCCCGTCCTATGGCATGGGTGCAGGATGTCTAGTTGCCGGCCGAACCAGGCCGAACCAGTCGGCCGGCCGGCGGATCGGCGGCACACTGCTGCGCTGCGTGGCCGACTGGACCGACTCGACGGAGGCGGCTAGAGTCTGGCAGAATCGCCTGGAAGCGGTCAACGGCAGCGCGAGCAGCGAGCTAGCAGCGAGCTAGCAGCGGGGTGGACGAGGAAGGCATGATGGATGCTGAGGCCCGGGGCCCGGGGCTTGGGGCCCGTGGCTTGGGGCGTGGGGCTTGGGGCTTGGCCCGGGACAGATCGGATCGGCCATCGGCCGCGGGTCTCGGTCGAGCCGCTTGACTTTCATGTTCATGCTGGCTTCGGCGTCATCCACCCGGCAGCCGTCTGAATCCGAACACTGCTTCGTCGCTCTGTCTCTCTCGCACCCCTACGGACCGCCCCTGCGAGAGAGACAAAGCGACGAAAGCAGTGCTCGGAATCAGACGGTAGGTCGAATCCGAACAGTGTCATCGCCGCTCTGTCTCTCCCGCACTCACGCGACGTCTCTCAGTGGTGTGTGAGAGAGACAGGGCGACCAAGCGCAGTTCGGAATCAAACTGCCGTTGACGTCATGGCGCTGGGGTGCCAAGGGCTGAAGGGAAGGGCAGGGCGCGGAAGGGAGGGGGAAGGGAGAACACGGCGCAGCACGGCGCCTCGGTGCAGTGACCCAGAGAAACGCAGTGCTCACCGAGTCTGAGTGTCAGCCATTGCGACTGAGTCGCGAGCGTCGCGCGCCGCGCACCGCGGCCACACTAGGCCAAACTGGAATGCCGCCATGTTTTTATTCCGATTCCGCTGGCCCGGCAAGTTTGGGACCGGTCGCGTGGCGCGGCGCGGCAGCGTGGCGCGGTGCTGCGCGGTGCCTCGCGGGCCTCGCACCTCGTCGGCCCGGCACCGCGGACTTGCACCGAGCGTGTGGCGCGGCGCGGCGGCGCGGCGTGCGACAGCCTTGTCGGTGCTCCGCGAGCGGCGAGTCGCCATGAGAGCCATGAGAGTCGCCATGAGTCGCCCGGAAGCTCGGTCTGCGCGGCTAGAGCGGCTAGGACGGCGAGAGCGCGGCGCGCGGGCACAGAGAGGGGGAAGCACCACCACGTTGGTGGCTGCCGGCCTGGCTGCCGGCCTGGCTGCCGGCCTGGCTGTCCGGCCGCTGCCTGCCAGCTCCGGCGGGGCGTTATCTGGCGGCTGATCGTGGCTGCTTCGTGTTACGCAATCGGCTGACGCGCTGACGCGGCCGTGTCATGCGCTGCCGATGTCGCTGATGGCGGTGGCCGCCCCGTCCTGGGCCGCCCTGGGCCCTGCGCTGCACGTCGAGCTGCCCCAGTACGACAACGACGTCAGCGAGGTGCGCGCGGCCGAGCGGGCGTCCGCTGAAAGCAACGGAAGGCTATCAACCGCCAGAGCTAGGTGTCGCTCTGTCTTTGTCGCACCACCTACCCGAGGCAGCCTTTTAGTGCGAGAGAGACAGAGTGACGGCAGCGGTGACGGAATCAGTCGGCAGGACTTCCCTCCCTCCTTCCCCCCTCCCCGTCAGTGCAAAACCTTCCACTTCCCACAGCCGTTGACCCTAGCGTTGACGATACACACCAGCACACAGTGCGCCTTGTTTGATCCGCAAACTTTGAAGTGCGACACACACACACACACACACTCACGCGCGTCCGTGCGACACACTCACGCGCGTCCGTGCGAGTGTGTGCTGGTGCGGGGCCGCACGCACTATCGCGCCGGTTGGACCGGTGAGGCAGGAAGCGCGGGGAAAACCGTCGTCCAAACTGATGTGATCTTAGGAAGCCACTTTGGCGAGGAGCTTACGCGCGGCCCGCGGGGCTTTGATAGGCCATGTTTGGGTCGTTGTTTTGCACGGGTGCCGAGCGGTGCCGAGCGAGGCGTGAGGACAATCATGGAATAATCCGAGCATTTCGGCATTTAGCGGCGCGGCGGCGCGGCGGCGTCACGTGCACGCCGAGAAAGATCCCGTGACCATGGACTTCCTGGGAACTAGTTTCTCACGTGACCCGCCACACTGCCCAAATAAGTCCTTTACAAATAAAAAGTAAAACGGGGGGGGGGGGGGGGGAATATTTTCGAGCAATTGAATCACAAGGTCAAGACGTTTAAAAGAGTAGGAAAGCGGACGACTCAAACACCAATTTGCTGTGGTGCTGGGCGGCTCTTAGATACGGCGGGCGCGGGGTCGAAGTCGAGGCCTCAATGAGCCATACAACAACACGCCAAGGTACCGAGACAAGCGGGACCGGCGGGGACCGGTGGGGACCCCACCCCAGGCTGGCCGCCGCGGCGCCGGGCCGTCCTCGCCCCCAGCGTGGAGCATTATCATTCCCTGTCCGAACCGGTGAGGCTGACGACGCTGACGAGGCTGATGGAGATGATGGGGCGAGCCGCCAGCCTCCGATATCAAACAAAACGGCGTGCGCGGCGTGCGGCCCGTGCTCCGCCAGGTACGCGTCAACAACACATCGGCGTGGACTTCCCCGGTCTGTTTGCCCATCGCCTCCCCGCAGTGCTTTACGTGCAGGCAGGGGCAGCGCCAGGCAGCGCAGACAATGCCTCGCAGCTGGATGAGCGCACCGCTAACGACAACACGTCCTCGTTGTTTGTCCTGGCCCTTCCCGGCCACGCCAGGTAAATACCGCCAAACCGCCGCGCCGGACAGAAAGAGCGCCAAAACTGCATCCCGGGGCGCTGCTGCTGCTGCTCGAAACTCGCCGCTTCGATGCTCACTGCGGTTTCGGTCGTTTTTCCGCTCCGTTCCCAGGCGTGTTGTGAGGCAGAGACGATGGTGCTCCCATCCGTTGCATCACGGCCGGCCCGGCTAGATAAGCCAGATTCCCGTAAGCGCGGCCAGGCGCGCGCATCGCTCCGGACAAACATTGATTTGCAAATAACGCGCTCCACTATCCCGCCATTTAGCTCCAATTGACTTTGGCCTTTTGAAGCGCTGAGACTGTGTGTGTGTGTATGTGTGTTAACAAGACAATAACCGGGTGGCTCGGCGCACACGGAGGCGCGGCCCATGGCCCGGCCGGCGCCTTGCAAGTTGCAACCAAATGCGGCCTCGTTTCCTCACAATTCTAGTGAACCATCCCGTAACCATCCCGTGGCGGGAGTTCCCTCCTTAACGTCGAGATTCGATCGCTCTGAGAGTCGTCAAGGACAAGGTCGGACAGCACTCGAGGCTCGCCCTGGCTCGCCCATCCTCAGCCTCCCAAAGCTCGCTCCCCACTGTACTAGAGCTTGGCGGAGTGCCAGTGCCAGACCTACACCGGTCGACAGAGCGTCAGAGCGAGGAAGAGGAGACTCCAGGCGCGCCTCCGGGCCCAGCCCTGCCTTCCACACTCGAAACTCCGTACCAGTTGTGTTTATCTTTGTGAAGTCACTTTCCGATAGCGTTCTGGCGATGCAGGTCGTGCGACCCATCCCAAGAAGAAGCCCCGTGCCGTGCCGTGCCGGGTCAGGTAGTCGAGTCGGGGAAAGGAAAGGACTGTTATGTAAAGCGGGGCTGTCATTCCCTCATTCCCCGGACCTTATCAAGCGGCCGGCCGGGCCCTTGCTGCGCGTAGCTGCGCCCTCTTCTTCCAGTGGTATGCCTGTCTGCCAGGCGGGGGGCGGGGGCGTCACTCCCCTAAAGAAATGCAAAAAGTAGAACTTCGCCTCTAAATAGTAGGCAACTTTGCCACATCGCCTTTCTGAACTCGTCTCTGGTTCCGCCCTTGCTGTTGACTGGGCCAGAGCCCTTGCCACACTGGGCCACCGTGCAACGCCGAGGCGGCCGGAGGGACAGAGGCCGAGGGAGGGGAGTTAAGCCCGCTATTCAGGTTTCACCTGGGCGTGTTCGGGCCGCCTAGGTCCGCCCAGCCCAGGGCTGCCCAGGGCCCCTCTCTTCCCTTCCACTCACTGCCACTGCTGGCACACTGTACCACACTGGCCACATCCAACTGGACGCCGAGGGTCTTGGACCGCTCGGGACCCGCCGCCGGGCCCCGCCGTAGCGCTGGCTCCTCTTGGAGGGCCAGGCGGCGGCCCCGTGCGGCCGAGACGAGCAGCGCAGCACTGCCAATGCCATTGGACAGTCCGACGACACTGACAAGCACTGCGATGAATAACGAAGCTAGGGCCCCATCCCAGCGACCACCAAATGGGGCCCGGCTAGACAGCCGCGTTAACGTGCCGTCTAGCTGCAGCACTCTCGCGCCGCGAACCACTAGAACTTCCCTCCGCGGCTAGTGGAAGTCTACCTCCCCTCCCCACTGATTCCCCACACCACTGTAGTCGCTGTCTCTTTCGCACTTAGGAGGGCGTCCCATGCAGGTGCGAGAGAGACAGAGAGACGATGCGCTGTGCGGAATCAGTGTACTTGGCGACTTGCTTACCAGCTGTGCGGATGACGGTCACCGCGCTGTTGATGCTCGATGTGGTAATCCCAAAAGTGTGTCCACTCGACGTCAAGCGCACTGCACTGCGACTCACTCACTACCTTCTCACTGCACTTCACCGGCAGCGCCGGCAATGCCCGCGGCTGGGCTGTCACCGTCAGTCACCGCATTCCCGAGGCGCCGACCATGCCGACGCTCTTGGTCGCGTCGTCCGCGGCCCGCGCGGCCTTGTGGCTGGTGGCGCGCCAAGCCTGGCGAAGCCGCGAAGCCGCGCAGTCAGCGTTTGGCGGTTCGAAACGCGGCAGGACGCAGGACGCGGCGCGGGCCGCTGGTCAGTACAGAACACGACACACGACACTCGATTGGCGTGACGGGGAGCGCGGCAGCGGCAGCGCGCCGGCGGATTCACGAGACTGCCTCTGGCGCGGGCTGCGCGGGCATGCCGCCACTTCGACAGCAGAAGATACCACTGACTGACGGGGAACCAGCTGGGAACCCGGTGCCCGTCGTAGAGCCCGCCGGCCCGGGCCTGCTGCCTGCTGACTACGAGGAGGCGCCGTAGTAGAGGCCCGGGCCCCACGCCGCGCCGCGCCACGCCGCGGCCACGGCGACGAGCTAGGCGACGGGCGGGGAAGGGCGCGGCGGCAGCGGGGCAAACACACACACACACACTCACACTCAGTCGGCTTCGAGGCCGCGTCCGAGACCGTGGCGCGGTCTTCGTCTATCACACGGCGGCTAGACAAGGGGCGTCGGCCGCGTGGTTGCGACGCGGAGCTCCCCCGAAACCAGCTTGGCTAATAGCTAGGCCTAGGCCTGCAAGTCCAAGTCGAGCCGGTCGGGCCGGGCCGGGCCTCGTAGTCGTGGAGGCCGCCGTGGCACGGCGCGCTCTGGCTCTGCTCGCAGTGTGGCGAGGCGAGGCGAGACACCAGCGACAGCCGAGAGGCTTAGGCCGACCCGGAGCGCTGCCGTGTGCAAGGGGTTGCCGCCCTCGCCCCTGAGCCCTGGCCACCCTGGCTGCCCTGGCTGCCCTGGCTGGTCGGCCGGACTGCAACTTCAACGCCCCGTGCGGGCTTCCCTTCCCACTTCCCCTCCCCGCGCGTAAGCTGTTGTTAATTTCGACAGACAGCACAGCCACTAGTTCTGCTATTTTCTTTTGTGAGGCACTTATAGAGTGCTTCCGAAAAAGTGATGCTTCTAGCCTTCTATTCTGCCAGCTACTTTCTTGACATCCTTCCCTCTGGGTAGAGCCGACAAGAAAATCATTGTATAGAGGTAGGGCAGGGAATGTTTTCTTAATGTAAGCTACAACACTAGATCTAATGATATATATTATTTTAAAGTCTTAAGTTGATTATAAATATTGCATGAATTTACTTTATTTAGACATGATAAAAAAAGGAATTGAGTCCTAGGCTTGCAGTACTGGTCTGTTGTGCTTTGCATCGAGTTCTTCATTGGTTGTAGAGTAGCCTGTACCACCCTAGAAAGTAAAAAAGAAAACATCTAGTTAAGAACACTGAGAATAAATACTGCAGAGAAACAAAACATTATAGAAGCAAACTGAGTTTGGCATACTTACTCTTTGGAGTGGAATTATGTCTTTCTCTGTTAACTTTTCACTGGTGAGTGGGTGAATCCAATCTTTCTTAATGATCTTTTCGACACATTCCATTGTCACTACATCTCCCCTTGGAAAATAATTCACAAGTAAGCAGAAAGTAGATTTAAATGAAAAGATGAAAAAGAAGCAAGAGTTAGATGTACTTACGTAGTTCGGAGTACAGCACATGGAACAGAGTTGCTAAGAATGTCATGAGTAACAGCACACATGTAACGGTTTTCTTTCACAATTAATGATTTCTTATCATCTGGGTCTTTTACTTCAGTAAACTTGACATCGATTAAATCTTTTATCTTGAGTGGCTTATTACTCATTGGACAGTAAATTGTCTTGTCCTAAAAAGGAAAAACATGGTTTAGTCAAAGAATATAATGGCAACAATTTCCCTTCTGAATTGAATCAGACTTACTGGTTTGGGAAGAGCTGATTTTTTACTATGTGGCGTCATTGAAGGAATCCAAAAGCTAGGAAGTTGCTTGGAGCGGCCATCAGCCATGTTAGACACAGATGGCTTGTCTGTTGTAGCTGTTGTTAAAATAAATTGATGAAATATTCCATAGGAAACTGAAAGATGAAAAATAGCAAAGCAGAGGACAAGAACTTTGAACTTACTGGGCTTAAATGCGTTGATAGGTGTGCTGACAATATTTTTCTCAGTTTTCAAGAATTTGTGCAATTGCGACGACTTTTCAGCAGCAGCAAGCTCTGCTAGCTCATTCTGGAAATACATACAGTAATTAGTGAAGGGTTTTATGATACATTTATTCAAAGTAATGGAAGGTAATGGTACTTTAAAAATAGTTACCTCTTCCTTCCTCTTCTGTTTCTCATACTCTTTCATTTTGCGGCTTACTTCATTTTTCTTAGTTATAACGTATTCCAAGATAGCTTCTTTGTCAAACAAGTAGCCTTCTTGCCTATGTTCAAAAGAAATAGTATGAATAAGTTACAGTGGAAAGAATTAATTTGACACGTACGAAACCAAATGTAAGGAATGAAACACTAACGAAATGACAGGATTTCTGCAAGGTTGAAGGGTTAGGCAACAGCAGTCAAAGCTTTTAATGGAATCCTTGCCCAGTCGCTGTCGCTCCGTTCCGTAACCTGACGCCTCAGCATCCTTCTTTTTCTCATGATAAGTGTAAACTGCTCCAGCAGTGCAGTTACGAGCGTGTCGTGTCATTTTTTGATGTTTCGAACTAGGACACTCGCATTTGCAGAAACAAACAAAATCAAAACACAAACAAAAACATGCATGCGCCTTCTCGATTAGTGTGTAGGATGACCAACCTTCTGAATTCGTAACCCGTGGCGCCATCTTCAGGCCCCTCGAGTCTCTTAAAGGCTGCAGAACTTACTCGCAAGCCCCGAAGATGGCGCCACGGGTGCGGTTATTCCCTGTCACAGCCAACATAACACCACGGCGCCCTTAAAATCATTGTTGTTGGTAAAACTTATGCTATTTGGAGCGGTGAAAAATTTTCTTTTCTTTGACAGCCTTCAGAAGTGCTTTAGGCAAATTTAAATGATTACCTCAGTCATTTTTTGGAACCGTTACAACAAAATGATTGCTCGTGAAGTTGGCAGCGGGCTGGGCTATGATCGGTGGAAGCTCTAATACAAATATTTTAGCGCGACAACGAGCAGAACAGATGGACAGCGACTCAGATAGTTGGTGGTGCGGCATCAAGGCATGTGCGCCACAGCGAGCCCCCGTGCTGGGTAGGCAGGCCCGCACGGCGCACGGCGCGCTGCAGGACCAGGAAGACGTGGTCTTGCCGCCCAGCCCCGTTCACCCTGGTTCGCCCCATTCCCTCGGGGCTGCGGCTGGACCTGTTATGGAAATCGGACTCGGCCCGGGGGTGCAAGTCCAAGTCCAGGCCCCGGACCCCCGGCCCGGACTCGCTGGGCGCGAGGCGGCGAGGCGGCGAGGCGGCGCAAGGGAAGGGCGGGTCGGTCTGGCCGCTTCTTGGCGCCTCTTGGTCTTAGTGCTGGGTCCGCCCGGAAACTGCACCTTTCTGTCTTTGGGATGGTGGGGCGGCCGGGTCTTTGCGGCCGGGCGACCCAACTAGGAGCGCGCTGCCGGGCTGCCGGGCTGCCAGGTGGGGGCGGAAGGCGCAAAGTAGGCTGACCAGACCACGGCCATGGCCATGCCAGGGCCCGGCCGGCGCCTTGGACCTTGCTGGGCTTTGGTGGGCTGCGGAGTGCGGTCGCGGTTGGTCCCGTTGGGAGGCGGGGCGGGCGGGGCGCTGTGGCCACCGCGTAGCGAGAGGTAAAGTGGCCGACGGCAGCCACTTCCCCAGCAAGCCCAGCAAGCTTGCGGGGCTTCTTGAGGGCCTCGTTGGCCGGGATTGCCTCGGCGGCAGCATTGTCGCGCGCGGCACGGATCCGCCATGGCTCCGCGGGGAGCGTGGCGACGGACTTGATGTCAGCGAAAGAAGCCAGCAGGCTGTTACGGTCACCCCAGCCGTGCCAGGCCGTGCCAGGCCGGGGCTAATGGGGCGCACCTTACTTTGTAATTTGGCCTCACAGCGCCTCAGTCTCGCAGGACAAAGGGGCCCCGGAGAGTCGGCCAGCGGCGCCAGCGGCGCCAGCACTGGCAAGTGAACCCCGGCCGCAGTCCGCCCCAGGTCCGCCCCCGGCAGCGCCGCCACTCCGCCACCGTCGTCCGCCCCGCCAGGCGCCGTCAGGGAAGCCGTCAGGCAGGGCGGAAGAGCGAGGCGGCCTTCATAAACACCAAGGCCACACCGCGGCCGCGCGACAGGGCCTTGCTGTTGCCGCGGCCGCAGCGCGCCGTCGTGTTGTCTGCATCCCGGAGCTGATGATCCTCTCCTCTCGACCCGCGTAACGCTCCACCCCGCCCCGCCCCGCCTTCAGCCCCGCCGGCAGCCACACGTTATTAAATTCCGCACCCCTGCCTCGCCGTGCCTCCCCCTCCCCTCGCGTCGCTGCAGGACTCGATTGGGGCCACCGCATCGCCGCATCGCCGCATCGGCATACCGAGTACGCCAGTGCTGGTGCGAAGGCTGGCCAAGGCTGGCTTGGAATGTGGAGCCGCCTAATCACGCCGGGCTATATGAGCACTGAGCGGCAGCGAGCCATCGCCGCGCGGTCAGACGGACTTCCTTCTTCGGGCTCCGGACTGCGGACTTGGACTGCGGACTATGCGCTTCGGGCACACACTGGCACACACGCGCGGACCCTGAATGCGGGACGGGCTGCCTCGCCCTCGCCACCACCGCATACTTCACCCCGCCCGCCTCTCCACGCGCCACGCGCACGACGGCGTGAATGCGGCGGCCATGGCATGGCACGGCACGGCACGGCACGGCACGGCAGCCCATCCCGGGGCGGCGAGGCGTCGCGGCCGAGGCGCGCGTGGCGCGTGGTAGAGGCAAAGGCACGCAAAGTTGTGGGATTGTTGGCCAAGTTCTTTGTTGCTCTCGTTTAATACGGTCACTTGGCTTGTTGCGAAACTCCATCAAATGGCTGAGCCGAGTCGTGGTGGGGGCGCGGGACGCGCGGGGCGCAGGGGAGCTAGGTCAGTGCGAGGCCCTGGCAGGCTGATGCCGGTCTCTCTCACTCGTGAGAGAGACAGAGAGAGAGAGAACTTTTCGGAAGGGAGCTCCGGGCAGGCCGGCCCGGCATCCGTTTCATCGCACTGCGAAGGGAGAGGCGCGCACCGTCCTCTCCTCTAGCAGAGCAAGCGGCGAAGCGCTGCCAATGAGTAACAAGGTCTATTGGCTGCGATGGTCCTGGAACCGTTTCCGGCAGACTGCCCCCGGGCCTCCGCGCTGCCGGCCTTGAGCACGCCTCAAACATGCCTCCATCACTTCATCGAGTCTCCAGGGAGAGCGAAAAAAGGGACTTGTTCTTTCAGCGCAATCTCAATTCTCAGAATGCTAAGGTTGCTCTATGATCACAGTGTTCCTCGAGCCACCCTCCAGGGTTCTTCCAGCAGCCTCCAGCGAGCCCTCCAGCCTTCCAGCATCGGCAGTTTGCGGGCCGGCGGGGCGTTTTCACTGCTCTTCGCGGCTCTTCGTTCCGGCCACCGCCTTGCGATCAAAAAATAACGACCTCCATCAACATTCTCCTCCTTTTCCATAAAGTCGGTCACCGCCGCCGCCATCCCGCTTCATCTCGAAGCAGTATAAGCACCACTACCACGGGGGCTGGGACTGCTGGGCGCTGGCCAGCACCCACACTGTGCTTTCGTCGCTGTCTCCGTCGCACTCATGGGGCGAGCCACACGAAGCGCTTTGGGGGTCACTCCGCGGGGTAAAAAGAGGAATAGGTTGAACCCGCGCTCACATCCGGTGTGGCCACACGAATTGGCGAGCTTTTCCACGACGCACTCGTGTTGAAACGGGTTGCGACCGCTGCCTGCCCACTAGGCAATGCCACGGCGGTGCTCGCGAGGTTGCCTAGGAGGCAGACATCCTTGCTCACGTATCCGCGTGCTCGCTGGCGCCGACAAGACAAGGGTGGCGACGCACTGGAGGACGTGGGAGAGCAACGGAGAGCAACAGATGCGGAGAGGCGCGCCGAATCACTCGGCGAAGTGCCCCACGGGCCGTGCTGGCCGTGCTGGCCGTGCTGGCGGCGCCGGCCGTGCGCCCCACGGCAGGACAAGACCAGGTAGAAACAGGTGTGGCGACGGGGAGGAGGGAAGAAGGGGGGAGAGGCAGCAGGAAATTACGGGCCGTCGTGTCGGAAATGACTGCAGCAGTATTTGTAGGGGCGGGGAGAGAAAGGGGGGGGGGAGGGGCTGAGGTGAGAGAAGGCGATGAAGACCGCGAGGATGGCGAGGCGATGGCACTCTCGTGGGAAAGGCCAGGAGCTTTGAATATGAGGACAGACGGTATTTGGTTCCTTTACTGGATTTCATACTGATCTACTTAGAGGTGTTTCCACTGTGGAGGTACCACCGCGTGGCCCCCATGCTCGCACACCGGTACACCGAGTCCCACGCCGCGCTGGGACTGGTTCGGACTTCGATCCTGGCAACGTGGGTCTGTAGTCTGGTAACGAGAGCGGACTGGCGGGGTGCGGGGCGGGGCGGGGCGGGGCGGGGCGGTCCCTCGCAGGGTCATTTGAATCCCCGCGCGCCGCGTCCACGGCGAGGGCTTCCGGTGGGGCTGCTCTGGGGCCGCGGGTGCGCCGAGTCGTGGCTTTGCGGGGGGCGGGGGAAGGGAGTGAGGAGTGAGGACCGAACGCATGGCGGCATGGCGGCGGCTGCGGGCAGGCCTGCCTTTACCCACGGTAAATCTGTGGACTTTGCAGGCGGCGGTGGCGGCCCGGTGCGGTGCGGCGGAGCGATGTGGTGTGGGGTCCCGAGGGATGCACGCCCTGCGGCCCCAACGGCCCCCACGGCCCCGCAACAACCGGCAACCACAGGGGCCGCGGCGGGCCGTGGCGGTGGCGGCGCGGACTCTCTTGAGCAAGTGCAAGTGTCCGCTGAAGCGAGTGAAGCTGCACCTTTCCGCTAGCTGTCGAGTGAGTCGCCCCCTCCGCCCCGCCCCCTGCCGCCCCCGCCGCCCCCGCCGCCCCCAGCAAGAATGAATAAACTTACCGCCGTAAACAATGAAGTCTCGCGCTCTAAACGTGTTTCCGTGTTTCGCGGTTTTCCACGGCGTCGACGGATCGCCGCGCGTATAACTTTACCACCGACGAGTGTATGGAGCCAGTCGTCAGCGCAGCGCGGCGGCGAGGAGAGGAGGGCCGAGAAAGCCGGGAAAGTGGAGCGGCCCTTGGAAATTAATTTGGATGAGTTAAAACTGCGGGAAAGCCCTGGAGCACCGCCGTTGGCTCTTCGGTACTCTTCGGTCCTCCCTCCTCTCGGCCTCCACGCCGTCCAGCGGTCGTGGCGGGTGCGTTCGGATTGCTATCGGTAGCTGGCGGCGCCGGCGGCCGGCCGGCTGTGGCTGTGCAAGTCGTGTGTCGTGTCCGGTAATTGGACCCGCTTCGTTTCGCAGAAGGCCTGGAGCTGCTTCCGTCACGGCCCTGCGGTGTGGCCGCTGCCTTTGATGTGAGCGAGCTCGTCCTGCCGGCCTGACCACGGGACATCGGGAGGGGAGCTTCCGCCGTCTTGAAGCCCAACGTTGTTAACTTGGCGTCCACTCAATAGGCTGTCCCGCTGGTTCCGCTGGCTCGGAAAGAGGGGCCGTGCGCACTTCCGGCCCCGGCCTGCAGGTGGACGTAACTAGTCGTAACTTCCGCTGCCCCTGTTCCCCGCAGGCTGGACCGCAGGCCGGGGGACGGAAGTTGTGCACTTCCTCTTTCCCAAGCCGCGGAGTGGCCCATTCACCGACCAATCCACGCGGTGAAAACTTTGCCTTGTCGCCGTGGTTGCACGCATGACGTCATTCAAAACAGAAACGCACGCCGAGAGGACTTTCACTGAACAAAATGCTCGCGGATTTCTCTCTGGTCGAAAGTCGGGATCATTCCGTCGGCCCGATCAGCCGAAGCCAGTCCCCACCCTGCTTTATAGCGGGCTAGCCCCCCCCTCCCTCTTTCCCTTTTCACCCCGTTTCCCGATTTGGTTCGTGCTGTCGAAATCACCCCCGGCCGCGCACCACGCAACCCGCCCGGCCCTGCCCGGCGTATCTACACATCTACAGATCTCCATCTTACAACTCTTAATACTCTCCCCCCTTTTTTCACCTCGCCGCGTTCCACTTTTTTTTTCTCCCTCTCCCTTCGATTACGTTGTCCAACACGTGCTTTCCATTCCGGAAAGGAAATGGAGGTCGGGCCGGAGGGGGCTGTGCCCAGGCCGAGCCCAGGCCTTGCGCGCCAGGAAATGGATTAACCTTCCCGTCGAGGCAGTGCTGGACCACGCACTGGTTGTCCTGCCAGGAGCGAGGCCCACACAAAGGGCGGGCCAATGGACGCACGCCCGGCCCCGCACTGGGTCACCTTGGCCCCCTTGATAATCAGCCCCCCGCGGGGCCCCCGCCGCCCCCACCCCAGGGCCCCAGGGCCCCAGGGCCGCAGGGCCCCAGGCCGCGCAAACAGAAAAGACTCATCTTTTTGGTTTCGCCGCTGTGTGCTGCGTATTTTTGCCAACATTCGCGAGAGGGGTCGAGAGATGACCCCGAAGATGCCACGGCTTTTTCCTGTTTGCCGGGTAAACAGCGAAACCTTGAGTTTTTGTCCCATGCGCGGCCAGGCACGGCCAGGCACGGCCAGCACCCAGGCTGGTCCACAATTAAAGGAGTTTAATGAGGAGTGTTTCTTCTCGTGTGCTGTTGTTTGTCTGTTCGTTTGTGTTTGTTTGTTTTTTAATTTCTCTTTCATGTCCCCTTTTCCAACTAGCTCCTCTTCGCCATCACCCTTTTTTTCCGACTTGCTTTTCGCGCGAGCGCGTTTTTTCAACTTTTGAAGCAGGTTTCCTTGTGAATGGAGAGGCTATTTCAATCAAACACGATGGTGCGCTCAATGTCCTAAGATTTATTTCTGACTAGAATGCTTCAAAATTTTGTACACTGTAAATATTCTCTGATAGATCAATCTTATTATAGTAAGTTTAGTAGTTTCCTAAAAACCAGTATCACAATGTGTTATGTACAAAGACGAATACCCCAGCTTCGCTTAAGATAAAATGACACAAAACTCTTGGTCCATTATCTGATATTAAATTTTAATCCGTTGAACGCGGCGGGCGTTCTGCTTGAATCGTTACACACATATTTATTGAAGAAAGGAATGCCTACCAAAACAAAGACGCGGTGGGGCCGCTCGTCACCAAGTTAGCAAAAGTTTGTGCGTGACCTACACTGGAACAATGGTGATCGATCAAAACCCCAACAGGCACGCCGAAATCCTGCTCTTGTGTTCTTCTAAACTAGAATAGAAAAAGAAAGCTAATGCAAGCAGTAATTCCAACAGATGCATGATATGCAATTTTTCACAGAATTGTGAACATGGCCTATGAAGTTATCGGTTGTCTAGTTAAATGCTCTCAAACTGCAAGCCAAGGGAGTGAAACAGTAGCACACAATTGGAATCGGGAAAGCCTAGAAAACTCTGATGACACAACACAGGTAGGAAACAAACAGGCAAACTGAAAGATTTTGAGTAGCCTTCGCTATTTCTCTTGCCATTAAATGTCATATTTACAGCGCGTTATTCAATTAGGAAAAATACACTTAAATTTCTATCACTCACTATATTGTGAACGTTTCGACCACAAATAAAATCTTTAAAAATTTTTCTGCGTCTTTCCTTTTGCTCAAAACTGCTAACAAAACAAAGCCTAATTCAATTCAAATTATCATGGAAATATTGAAAAGTTCACGAACGACACTCAACTAGTTGCACACATAATAATCAAAATAAACACTTTTCCAGCGACCGAAGGACCGAGTCTCGCTCTTCGGCTCCACTGACACACTGACAGTCTGAGATCCTGGGTGGGCCTGCACTGCATGGCGCCATTCACGACACGGTAGTCCTGTGGACGCGGTGCAGGATGCGTATCCTGGCGATGCCCTTGGTGGTGGTCTCGGGGTGCGCGGCGCACGGGCTGCACTCGCACTTGGTGATCCACTGCACGGCGAAGGTGGCCGTGGTCTTGGCGCGCGGGTGCTTGGTGTGGTGGCGCTTGCGCGGCGGGCTGAACACGCTCCAGAGGCGGCCCTGGCTGCCCTTGGAGAAGCGGTGGCCCTCCTCGTTCTCGCCCTCCACGTCCTCCTCCTCGTCCACGTCCTGGTCCAGGTCCTGGTCGTCGTCCTCGGCCTCCTCGTCCGGGTCCTGGACACAGAAACGCCGTCAGAACGATCCTTTCGCACTGCGTTGCTCACCTTCGAACTGCGCTGCTCACCGCGTCCACGAGGTTGTCTCGCACCAGCACGGTGCTGGCGGGGTGCGGCGTGGTGACGGCGGTGTTCTCCTCCACCCACATGTCGACGCCCAGCTCGGCGACGGCCTCCGGGTCCGCCGGGGCCTCGCCGTCACACTCGAACTCCACCTGGGGGATTGAAACTAGTGAGCACGGCGCCGCAGAGGGCGATTCCGCGTCGCCTCCAACTTGGCGGCTTGGCGGCGCCACGGCAGCCGAAGCAGCCACGGCAGCCACGGCCAGACGCCGCCCGCGGAACGGGCGCAGGCAGCCTGCCGCGCACGCGTGCGGCCGGCTTGCCCACCCTGCTTCTCGCAGGCGCTATGCCCGTGCTGGCCGGGCCTGCACACTGCACCTGTACCGTACCTTGATGCTGGACGACAGCCTGGGCGCGCAGCACAGCCCGCGCTCCTGGCACGCCCCGCAGTGCTTGGGGTGGAAGCGCCGCTTGGAGAGGCAGCGGCCGAGCCGCAGGCGCACGGGCCTGGGGGCGCGCAGCGTCGCCTTGCAGTTGTGGCCCCGCTGCGGAACGGAGAACGGAGGAGCGGTTAGCCGTTAGCCACTGCCGGCTGATTCCGAACAGAGCTCTGTCGCTCCGTCTCTCTCGCGGCCCTGCAGGCCCCGCGAGTGCGAGAGAGACGGAGCATGCAGTACGTACCCGGATCTTGGCGTGCGGCGGGCGCCGCTCTTCCTGGGGCTGCACGCACGGCCGCAGCTGGCACGGCCGCGTCTGGTTCAGTGGCGCGCAGCCCGGGTTCTGGTTGGACACGCGCACGGACAGCCCCGTGCCGCACGTCCGGGAGCACGGCGACCACGCCAGCGCCAGGTGGGGGCACTGCGGGGGCCGCTCCACTGCAAAACGATACAGACAGACATTGGCAAAAGATGGACACACGGGGAAAGCCGCGAGGCTGGTAGTCGAACCCACGAACCTGCGTCGCTGTCGCACATCCACTCGCGGCAGCACTGGCCGGGCAGCTCCACGAGGCGTGGGTGCGGGCACGAGAAGCCCCGCGGCGAGATGCTCTCCTGGGGGCACAGGCTGGCGCACGCGTAGGTGCCGTTCTGGAAAGGAGGAGCAGAAGCAGGGCGTTCAGACAGGCTGCCGCTACACTTTTAATTAACAGGCCTGACCCTTTCTCCCCCGTCAAAGTATCTCCTCGCTGTTGGCCTCGCCGTCACTGCCGCCCCGCACTTCCCGTCCAAACTTTGGCCCGCCGCGCCGCCACCGCCACCACCACGCCGCCCCGACGACGCGACAGGACTGGTTTGCGGCCGCGGTGTCGGTGCATTCCTCGGGGCGCGGATTAAGATTAAAGACGTCATGTCGCTGTCATCTCGAACTAAGCCGTCCCCCACCCCCTCCGCGCCACTCAAGGCGGGGCGAATCCGCAGATCCACCCTCCCACCAGGCCGGGCCAGGCCAGGCCAGCCAAAAGCCCAAAGGCGCGCCAGCCCTGCGGCGCAGCGCGCACCGCCCCAATGGCCGCCATTTGTCTCGCTGGGCCGGATGTTTATTAGCAGGCGGGGCGGGGTGGGGTGGGGCGGGGTGGGGCGGGGCGGGGTGGGATTGAGAGGCCGCCAGAGTGATGGAGGAAAGGTCCAAAGGTCAACGCAGACCGTGTTCTCGCCTCGACTGGGAGCGCTGCGTGTGTGCGTGTGTGAGCGCGCGCAGACGCCTGCTCATGTGTGCGTGTGTGTGTGTGTGTGCGTGGCGGTGGGGGCCGTGAGCGGGACGTGATACATGGAGTAGCAACTCTGCGGGGCTTCACACACGCCACCCAGGGCAAGGCCGTTGCGGCCGTTGGCGGCGTGTTCACGTGCCGTGTCCGTGCCGTGTCCGTGGCGTGTCCGTGGCGTGTCCCTGTCCGTGCCGTGCCGTGCGGCGTGTTCAGGTCTCATCCCTCTGACATCTGGTAAACGCTGTGTTCGTCGACACGCGCGCCGCCGCCGCGCCACTGGGTCGCTTTAGAGCGGTGCTGCACGTCAGGTGGGGCGAGGGCAAGTAGTTGCACCCGCCCCGCCCAGCCCCACTCCACCCGGTTCAATTTGCCATTCACCACAGGGCACGACGGGCACCGCAGGGCCGCGACGCAGCGAGAGCCCTGCTCCAGCTCGTCTAGTACCTACCCGTCGGGGCCAATTATGTAATTACGGATCTCAGACTGGAGCGCCCTTTCCGCTGCCCGCCCCGCCCCGCCCCGCCCCGCCCCGCCTTGCCGCTGGTCCGGCCCTAATCACCCCGTGCTGCTTTGCAAATTCATCTCGGCGCGCGACCTCGTCCTCGTCTCCGACTGTATAATTCATAAACAACAAGGGTGGCTGCCGAGGAGAAAAAGAAAAACAAAAACAAGAAGAAAACGAGGCGAGGAAGACGACGGCCCATATGAATGGCGGCTGAGCAGCAGGGCCCGGCCGGAGCGGAGTGACTTTCTGGCCGGCCGAGCCAGCCGGAAGTTAAACTGCCACACATACACACACAGAGGAAGACGCGCAACGGCACTGGAGGAGAGGCACTGGAGAGGCACTGCATGCGTGACGCAGTCCAGCAGCCAGTCCGGCCTGTCCGGCCTGAGAGAGGTGCGGCGCCCCCTCCCTCCGTGCGACACGCCCCTGGACCGGCCGGCCAGGCCCGCAACGCCACTCAGCTCGCTGATGGCGGGGCGGCCGACTAAATAAAATATCAGAGGCAGAGTGGCCGACAGTTTTGTTCAGTTTGCTCTGAATCCTCCGAATCCTCGAGCTCTCTGGGGCCATTAACGAGTGTGGTGGGGAAGCTATGGCAGTGGCGTGGCAAGGGCAAGCGTGGGCGTAAGTCGCGCCGCGTCACGGTCCCAGAATAGACACGCCAGCCGCCCGGTTCCACGAATCCGACAGCCTTCTCTCTCGCACTCGGGGGCGGCGGGACTCACCTGACACGTGCATTGAGTGCGGCAGTCCAGCATGAAGGTCTCGCCATTGTCGTAGGTCTCGTTCTCCACGTAGCAGGGCCTGCCCTTGATGGCTGCAACAGACGAAGAAACCACAGGGCAGTCAGCACCTTTACAGGACTCACAGCGCGCCAAGTGCCAAGTCACACCGAAGCCGGCACGGCTGCGTCTCTGTGCGTCTACCTCGGTGTACCTGGCCCGCTCCCCTTTGGCCGACTTTGAGGCGACTCTCGCCCCGACAGCCGGGCCGCCGAGCCGCCAGGCCCCTTCCCGCGCACTCCCAGCCCCAGCCGGTCCCAAAGCCCCAGGAGGGGCCCACTTCATTGTCATGGGGGTCTTCCTGCACCCCCCCCCCCGGCCTTTAGATGTGCGCCCCTTCCCCTTCCCTGCTGGTGGTGATCGGGTGATCAGGGCTCTGATTCATGGCTCGTCACGGCCGGGCGGCACTGTCCCACACTGTACGTCCTGCCGTGGCCCCGCCAAGGCCCCGCCGCCGACGTCGCCTTCCCCGGCGTCCCGGCCCCTTTGGGCCAGCGCTGCAGGCCGAGGACGCCGAGGCCGCCCCGCGCCCCGCCCCAGGCCTGATCCCCTATTCATGATGCACCGTGCCTCGTGCCGTGGTTGGGGGCCGCCAGGGCCGCCAGGCCGCTCTCCAGGTTAAGAAGGCATTTAGGCCCTACGAGCGGCAGCCCCGCGGCAGCCCCGTCGGGACCGCCAAAGGGTTGCCGCGTCCTTGAGGGGACTCTTCAAGGAACAACTCGACGACCGTGCGCGGCGGCCCAACCCCAACCCCAACCCCAACCAACCCCAACCCAACCCTAACCCCAACGCGTCGCCGGGCAGGGCCTGGCAGGGCCCGTCCGACATGTGTACCAATTTCTCACACTCCGTCTCTCTATACGGATGGATGCGGCTCTTGGGGACCTGGGACTCCAGGCCGGAGGGCCCGGGGAGCGCCGCGCCACGCCACCTCGGGATGAAAAATACATGAAGCGACGGTCATGGCGCCACGCCGCGCCGCTGCGGCTTGCAAAGTTTCCCGGAGAACGAGACCCGAGACGCTTTGGCCACAAATATATTGATTCCGTTTCGAAAGGGGGGACGTCCTGACCAGGCTTATGCTCTTTGACGGGCGGCCCGCTGGGGACCGCCGCCTCCACTCGGGAAATTACATTGCGGGGTCGTCGCTGCAGCCGGCGGCAGTGGCAGCAGTGGCGCGGTAGCGGTGCGACTTGTCATACGAGCCATATCTGCCTCCAGTGTGTTTTGCCTCGGCGCTGCCGGAATGCGAGTGGCGGGGCGGGGCGGGGCGGGCGGGGCGGGGCGGGGCGGGGCGGGGCGGGGCGGGGCGGGGCGGGGCGCTCTGACGGCGCTGACCAGACGGCGCCCCGGTTCTTCTCATTCTCCACGACCCGGGCGGGCCGGGCCGCCCAGCGCCACCGCAACCACTTTGTCAGGCATGCCAGGCGTGTTTCTTCTTGTTCCAGAGGCCGCCCCGCCGCCCCCGGAGTCGCCCGGAGCGCGCGCCAGTCTGGCGGGGCGGCAGCGCGGTGGAGCACACAGGCCACCAGCCACCGCCTGCTCGCCAAAGTGGAAACCCCGCCGCCACGCCGCCACGCCGCCACCTAGGCTAGCCTGCGGCCGCTCCGGCCAAGCCAGTGTCGAAACGAGACGGCGAGGAGGGGCGCCGGAAATATGGCAACACACGTCCACGTAATGAAATTCGCGGGGATAAATGAAAGGAACTTGGAGGGGTGGGTGCCGCCGTGCTGCAGTGCTCCATCATTCGGCTAATAGCGGCTATAATGCCACAGGTTGGCTGGGCCACATCTAAGAGGCCGTGCCGTGCCGGGCCGCGGCGCGCGGGCCTTCCCCCCCTCCCCCTCCCCCGCCACGGCAAACTGCCACGCATTCCTCACGCTGGGGCAATTAATAACCGGCAGGCAGGCGGGCAGGGCAGGCATCGGCCGCGGCCCGCGTCGCAAAGCCTTTTCAATTAGTTGTCGCGTCTGGCGAACGGAGCCCCGGACTGCGGGCTCTGTCGTCTCTCTTTCTCTGGACTCGAGCGGCGTTGCGTTGCGGAGGGGCGCGAGAGAGAAAGGAAGCCGCCGGTCGGGCTGGAGCGTCGGCCCGTCCGGTTGCGGTCGCCATTAGCAAACGTCCAAACACGGTCTGTTGTCTCACTCGCACCCACGGCCCGGCCCGGCCCGGCGGCCTACAGTGTGGCGCACGCACCGCGTGGGCTGACAAGGCCCGCCGAGCAGGGCAGCAGGGCGCTGCACGGGTCGCTCTGTCTCACTCGCACTCACGTGACGCCCCACTCCGTCGACAGAGGCAGCGCGACGAAAGCGCTGTCCGGAATCAGACTACAGGGAGGCCGTGTCTCGACGAGCTGCAGGACCAGCATAACCGCCAGAAGATCAATAGGCCCAAGATAAGGCGGGTAAAAAAAATACGGCAGGGCGTGTCCGCGTGGGAATGGCGCAGAGGGAGAGTAGAAAAAGGAAAAGAAACTCTGCGACATTCATCCATCCAGCCAGCCAGCCTTATCTGTCGAGGAATTAAGGTGGACCTGAGCCGAGGGAGGCGACGACCTTAATTCACGTTCGTTCCTTATGAAACACGGCGACGGCCACCAAAGTGGGCAGAGGGAGAGAGACAGCGAGAGGGGGGAGGGGGCGGAGGAAAAGACTGATGGTTTGTCCGTACGAGGCGAGAGCAAACGAAATGGGGGAGGGACACGGTACAGAAAGAGGGGCTTCATGAGCCGCTCCGCTGCTGCGCCAGCGTCGCCACAGTCCGTACCGGCGGACAGACGCGGCGGCGGGGCCAGGGCGGGGCGGCGCGGCGGGCAGCGCAAGCCCCTATTTGCGGTAAACATACACAGTGTATTGACTCTCTGGCGAGGCCGAATGGTAAATACCTTCCTCCCCGCCGCCGTGCTCGCGGCTGCCGATGGCGGTACACTGCCAAGCGGCGGAGCGGCGGAACGGCACGCAGCCTCCTGGCTCGCTTGGAGGCGGGGAAGATGCGACGCGGTGCGCGGCCAATGCACTGCAGCGCACAAAGGGGGCAATCGTTCACCCCCCCCCCCACACACACACACACAGGCCGCGCCACTTCACGCCCCGCCGAGCGTGGAAGAGACTTATGAGGACCGCAAGTCAACAGGGGACCGGGGGACAGGGGCACCGCCCCGCCGGCCCAGTCTGGCCCGGCCTCGCCCGGCCCCACAGCGACCCGAAGGGCCGAAGAGGGGTCTGAGCCACTGCACACCGCGTACCCACCGCACTCGTACAAACGAAGACGCGCACACACGCTCATGCATCACACACACGCACACACACTGGCACAGAGTCGCATTCACACACCCCCATGCCGCATATGTACTCCGGGCTCGAGATTTTCCGGGCGGATGGCGGAAAAAAAATTAATTACTTTTCTTTGATGTCGCTCGCGGATATGGGAATGATGCCGGCGCGTCGTAAAAATAATAAATGCTCCGCCCTGCGCCACGCCACGCCGCACCGCGCCACATCTGTGCCGCCAGGCCCGCGGCTGTATGAATGTCCCGCACACAGATACAGCGTACAGCGGGCAGCACGCAGCGCCACGACAGACGTACACATGGCACTTCGTTTCTTTTATTAGACTCACAGTGCGGTGGCGGCGGGCTGGGAGCGTCCCGGCCTCGGTCCCGGCCGTCCCCGCGGCGCGACTGTCGGCGATATGGGCCTCCGCGGACTGCACAGTAGAGACCTAGAGACTGACGGAGAAGCGCGGGCGCCGTCGCGCGCTGGCGGCCATTTTGTCTGGCCCGGCCCAGAGGGGAGCGGGGAGGGGACAGGGAGCGGAGCGGAGAGCGGTGCGGTAAGGTGGGGCGAGGCGGAGCGCAGCAGACAACCGGAACAGTTTTTCGGCCACAGCTCGAAAACCGTTCAAGTTAGAGTGGTACAGTAAGCGAGCCGATTGTAGCTTGTACAGAGACCTACAATCGGCTCGCTTACTATACCCCTCTATCTAGAACGGTTTGGAAGCTGTGACCGAAAAACCTTCTCTAGCCGTTAAGTGCGTGCGCCGCCATTTTGTCTGGAATATGAGACAGCTCTCCGGCCGCGCGCGAGGAGTATGAGAAACTGTTGGTGCGCTTATCGGCGCCCGCGCTTCTCCGTCAGTCTCTAGGTCTCTACTGCACAGCGCGCGCCGCCCGGCACGCCGCCCGGCACGCCGCCCGGCACGCCGCCCGGCACGCCGCCCGGCACGCCGCCCGGCACGCCGCCCGGCACGCCGCCCGGCACGCCGCCCGGCACGCCGCCCGGCACGCCGCCCGGCACGCCGCCCGGCACGCCGCCCGGCACGCCGCCCGGCACGCCGCCCGGCACGCCGCCCGGCACGCCGCCCGGCACGCCGCCCGGCACGCCGCCCGGCACGCCGCCCGGCACGCCGCCCGGCACGCCGCCCGGCACGCCGCCCGGCACGCCGCCCGGCACGCCGCCCGGCACGCCGCCCGGCACGCCGCCCGGCACGCCGCCCGGCACGCCGCCCGGCACGCCGCCCGGCACGCCGCCCGGCACGCCGCCGGCACGCCGCACGCCGCCCGGCACGCCGCCCGGCACGCCGCCCGGCACGCCGCCCGGCACGCCGCCCGGCACGCCGCCGCACGCCGCCCGGCACGCCGCCCGGCACGCCGCCCGGCACGCCGCCCGGCACGCCGCCCGGCACGCCGCCCGGCACGCCGCCCGGCACGCCGCCCGGCACGCCGCCCGGCACGCCGCCCGGCACGCCGCCCGGCACGCCCGCCGCCACGCCGCCCGGCACGCCGCCCCGGCCCGCACGCCGCCCGGCACGCCGCCCGGCACGCCGCCCGGCACGCCGCCCGGCACGCCGCCCGGCACGCCGCCCGGCCGCCGCCCGGCACGCCGCCCGGCACGCCGCCCCGGCACGCCGCCCGGCACGCCGCCCGGCCACGCCGCCCGGCACGCCGCCCGGCACGCCGCCCGCCGCCACGCCGCCCGGCACGCCGCCCGGCACGCCGCCCGGCACGCCGCCCGGCACGCCGCCCGGCACGCCGCCCGGCACCCGCGCCCACGCCGCCCGGCACGCCGCCCGGCACGCCGCCCGGCACGCCGCCCGGCACGCCGCCCGGCACGCCGCCCGGCACGCCGCCCGGCACGCCGCCCGCACGCCGCCCGGCACGCCGCCCGGCACGCCGCCCGGCACGCCGCCCGGCACGCCGCCCGGCACGCCGCCCGGCACGCCGCCCGGCACGCCGCCCGGCACGCCGCCCGCACGCCGCCCGGCACGCCGCCCGGCACGCCGCCCGGCACGCGCCGGCCCGGGGACGCCGCCCGGCACGCCGCCCGGCACGCCGCCCGGCACGCCGCCCGGCACGCCGCCCGGCACGCCGCCCGGCACGCCGCCCGGCACGCCGCCCGGCACGCCGCCCGGCACGCCGCCCGGCACGCCGCCCGGCACGCCGCCCGGCACGCCGCCCGGCACGCCGCCCGGCACGCCGCCCGGCACGCCGCCCGGCACGCCGCCCGGCACGCCGCCCGGCACGCCGCCCGGCACGCCGCCCGGCACGCCGCCCGGCACGCCGCCCGGCACGCCGCCCGGCACGCCGCCCGGCACGCCGCCCGGCACGCCGCCCGGCACGCCGCCCGGCACGCCGCCCGGCACGCCGCCCGGCACGCCGCCCGGCACGCCGCCCGGCACGCCGCCCGGCACGCCGCCCGGCACGCCGCCCGGCACGCCGCCCGGCACGCCGCCCGGCACGCCGCCCGGCCCCCACGCCGCCCGGCACGCCGCCCGGCACGCCGCCCGGCACGCCGCCCGGCACCCGCCACGCCGCCCGGCACGCCGCCCGGCACGCCGCCCGGCACGCCGCCCGGCACGCCCCCCGCCGCCGCCGCACGCCGCCCGGCACGCCGCCCGGCACGCCGCCCGGCACGCCGCCCGGCACGCCGCCCGGCACGCCGCCCGGCACGCCGCCCGGCACGCCGCCCGGCACGCCGGCCCCGGGCACGCCGCCCGGCACGCCGCCCGGCACGCCGCCCGGCACGCCGCCCGGCACGCCGCCCGGCACGCCGCCCGGCACGCCGCCCGGCACGCCGCCCGGCACGCCGCCCGGCACGCCGCCCGGCACGCCGCCCGGCACGCCGCCCGGCACGCCGCCCGGCACGGCGTCTTGCTGGCCCCGGCTTTATCCCGAAATGAGGGGCTGCGGGTGACGCGGCGCGGCGCGGCCGTGGGAAAGCAAGGCCCCGGGCGGCTCGGCGGCCGACTGCCCGCTCCGCCCGCTCTGCATAAAACGCCGCTCCTCGGCCGCGCCGTCCCGGCAGTGCCGGCAGTGCCGCCCGCCCGTTCGTTTTATTCGCGTTGTTGTGTATGCGTGGACGCATCCATCCAATATGCACGAGGCCTGGACGGCCCGGACGGCCTGCCCGGCATCTCGGCGTTATTTTCGCTCCGCCGAAAAGCGCTTCATCAGCGCGGACGGCGGACGTCGGATCGGGGCTCCACTCCCAGAGGTCGATGGTCCGGGCCGTCGCGGCGACGCGGCTTTTTAATTGGCTAAGTTTGGCGGCACGGAGCCCGGCCATGGCCCGGCGGAACCGCGCTGACAGAATTGGAAAGTCTTTGAGACGTCCGGGGCGGCCAGGGCGGCCAGGTCAGGGCAGGGCCAGGTGGGGGGCCGCCTCTGCACCGACCTGGACGCGGCGGGGCGGGCGGCAAGCGCGGGGCACTGCGCTGCGCAGCTGGACCAGAGTGCAGGCTTTCAATCCCCTCCGAGAACTGCTTAGCCGAAATCGATAGCCATGCCGAAAAATTATTCATGGTAAGGTAAGAAAATGGGTCAAAAAACATCTCGCGGTTTTCATAATTCGCACTCCTCCTGCGTGTACCGCGGGCTCTTGGCAGAGTTCTCCGCGCGCCAGTTCAGTTCCAACAACAGCAACATCAGCAGCATCAACAGAGGCAGCACACGTGCGTAAGCTGCAATAGCAATATTCGTTTATATGAGCCGGAGATACAGCCCGGGGGCGCCATGCATGCAGATGAAGCGGGGCGGGGCGGGGCGGGGCGGGGCGTACCCTCAGCGACACGCCGGCCGCCCTGGGCTGCGCGCTGCGCGATATGAGTCCGCTCGCTGAGTGATACGCCGCCAGGTGGCCCCTCCGCCTCGCCCCGCCGTGCGGCAGGCCGGCAGGTCGAGCAATTAAAGTCCCCGTCAAACAGAAGCCGTCCAACAACACGACGCCGCACCTGCGAGGCGCCCTGCACCGGGGCAAGGCATTCGGCCGACGCGTGACGGTGAGCCCCTTCGGCCTAAAGTGTTTCAATTGGAGTCTGGAGCCCCCCGCCCCGGAGTGCCCCGGAGGGCCCCAGGCATATGCAAATACGATGCGCGGCTGGCTGCCACTTCGCCGGCAAGCATGGCAATTCACTTTTTCCCGCTCCTTCCTTCGGAGGGCCCCGCGGCGCCGAGACGCGCCGCGCGACGTGAGCGAAGCACGCGGAGCGAAAGCGTAGCGCGGCAAGTTAAACAGTGGCGCTGCAACAGGTGCACTGCACTGCAATACCTGCGGGCGCGGCGCGGCTCGCGGTGTGTCGGCGGCAACCCCTCACTCCGCTTTCACTCCGTCGAGGCAAAGCCGGTAAAGCCAGCGCCGCGCCACTACACACTACAGGGACCACGGCGCGACAACGGAGGGTGTATCGCTTGTCCGTGGCTGACCCACTGCCAGTACCCGCACACAACCTGGTCCACCGACCCTGCTGGACAGAACGGAGGTCGTACAACAAAACAGTTCAGACAAAAGAAGTGAAGAAATTATTTTTCGGCCGATGAAATTTGGCCCGGTCGGCGCGCGGTGCGCGGCGAGCGCCCGACGACGAGGCGATGCCTGCCCGCCGGACAGCGCTGCGCGGCGCGTGGCCTACCCCGGCGCTGTCGGGCGCTCGCCGCTCGCCGTCAGTCTCAGCGAGGGCTGCGCTTGCTGCCGTGCCGCCTCACAATGTCCCTGTCATCGGGAACAGAACCCCGATTCGACTCAAGGCGGTTTGCCGACGGCCAGTGCGTTTCGCGGAGGGCATGCGGGCGAGGAAGGGAGGAGGCGGGGAGGCCGCCGCTGTCCGTCCGGCCGCGTGTCCGCAGCAACGCCAGCGACCGACCAATTGCACGCAAGATGGATGGAGTGGCCTGTGGCGCCACTGCGCAGTGGACAGATGAACAGCCGGCGGGCGGACAGCAGACAGACAGACAGACCGGCTCGATGAAAAACGGACAGCAGGCAGAGCAGCAAGCAGTGGCCGCCAGGCCGCCTGGCCCTATGTTGATTCCGAACAGTGCCCGCCTTCTGTCTCTCTCGCACCAGGGCGCACCACGCAAGGCCGCGAGAGAGACAGAGCGACGGGGCCACCGTTCGCGATCGGCCTGCCTTCGCCCCGCGGCCCTTCGGCTGTCCGGTGGAAGTGAACTCGATTGATGAATAGCCGCGTCCTCTCGATGGAAAAATTTAGCGCAGTAGTCGCGTCTCAAGGCCGTGGTGTGGCAGTCAGCGGACTGCAAGGCGAGGGGGCAGGGAGAGGGGCAGGGAGAGGGGCTGACAAGAAAGGATGGGCCGGCGTAGCGCCAGTAAACCCTGCCGGGACCACCAGGACGGCGGCGAGGCGAGGCGAGGCGAGGCGAGGCGAGGCGAGGCGAGCCCCAGGCCCCCGAGTCCAGACTCTCCAGACGGCACGTAGCCTCGTAGCCTCTAGCCTCGTCTCGCTGCAGTTTGGCACGGTGACAGAGAGAGGCTTACTCCCCGTTTGTGCGATACAGCCCCTCCGCCACCCCGACCAATCCGGAACCCGCCCCGCCCAGCCCCGCCGCGCCCGGATTTACGACGCAATCCCTGTCAAAATTGGTTTTCCTTATCGAGAAGTGCTGCAGGGCGGACCTGAGCAACGCACCGGCGACGCGCAGGCCTATGTGTGCCTCTCAGGACAGTCAACAGGCAAAAAACTAAGACAAGTTGCACAAGTTTTTTTCTAAGCCAGAGTCTGCTTTTCTGACGAAACTTTAAAAAGTTTGGGTCATAAAAAGGGGGGTGGGGGTGGCTGCGCTGCAATTCAACAAAAACTAAGCTGACTGAAAAATAAATTTTAAAAATCGTGTGGGATTAAGAAACCAGTACGGATTTCGCAGCACTAGTGCCGCCTGGTTGCCTGCATCGCTGGCGGCCTGCCCAACAGGAACAGGCCGCAGGGGGCAGGGGGCGCGCAGACGCCGAGTGCTCGCGATCCGCGTGGACGGGGCGCTGCCGGCTGACTCCGAAAGAGTGGCGCTCTGTCTCTCCCGCACTCACAGGGCGTCCCGTCGGAGTGCGAGAGAGACAGAGCGACTGCGTAAGTTACTCACCTCTGCAGGTGCCGGTGGGCGCGCTGCCGGCGTACTGGCACACCACGCCGCGGGCCTCGTCGCAGAGCCGGGCGCCGTCGCAGGGGTCGCCGCGCTGGCCCGCACACAGCAGGCAGCAGCCGCAGCCGTCGCGCACCAGCCCCACGCCGGGCCGGCAGGCGGGCGGCTCCGGGGGGCAGCGGCACGGGTACGCGCAGTGGGCGCGCAGCTGCAGCAGAGGGAGAGAGAGAGAGCACTTGAAGCAGCGGAAACAAAAGCAACAACAGGGTAGAGAGACCAAATGAGCGGACACTGCTGTCGGCGGCTTTCGGCATGTGTTGCGAGCCGAAGCATTTTTCGGCTGCCGAAGATACCCGAACTCGTCACCGAACGCTCGTTGAAACCTCTGTTTCCGGATCGACACCCGCTTTTTTCGGAAGCAGTCCAATAGAGACCCCCGCCTCACCCCTCGCCCAGCAGCTGTCACAAACCATCCCGACAGGTGCTGCCCTCTGGTAGTCAAAGGTTCAATCTAGCGGCTGTCGTTCGGCTCCGAGCGACCCGTCGGCCGCTCTTCGGGTCGCTTCGGCGTCCGAGCCTGGCGAGCTTTGCCGTGTCCGCCCGCCCGGCTCGGCACGAAACGGAGCCGAACGAGCCGAAGCTCGCACCTTCGTTTGTTTCCGGACAAACGGACAGCCAAGTCCGCTCGTTTGGTCTCTCTACAACAGGGTAAACATCAACAAGGACGCACTCGCAAGACTTTGCTCTCGCCGCAAGCCCCGCAAGCCAGCCGTGCGACTCGGCGTCACTCGCCCACCCCACACTACCCCACACGGGGCCCGAGGCCGCCCGAGGCCGCCCGAGGCGCACTATATTTTCTGTTCTTCCTTTTCTTTGCTTTGCCCGCCCCGCGCCGCGCCGTGTGCTTGTCGATGGCAAAGTACACCGGCCTGGACGCACCGCGCGGCCTGCTCAGTGCTCGCGAGGTGGGTCGGGTGGCGGCGTTTGTGCCTGTTGTGAGCACGGCTCCCTCTTCAGGGCCGGCTCTCCAGGGCCGGCTCTCCACCGATCGAGAGATAAGGGGCCGAGAAAGAAGCGAGCCGGGCCGGGCCGGGCCGGGCCCCTCCCCGGCCTCGGGCAGCTACTCAATAATATTCATGAGCCAGCAAGTATCGTTTGGAAGCCGTGCTGCGCCGTGCTGCCTCCTTGTCCGCTTGGCCGGCATTGTCGGTCCTCCGCGCCGCCGCCTCCTCCCACGAAGTCAGCCTCACGGACGGGCCCTCGACTCGACCCGCGCCCAATCGGGAATCGGGACGCCACCAATACGTCATCGACGACATCGTCGTGCTCTCCAAGCTTCTCGTCAGGGTGGCGGCGCGACGGGGCGCTGGCGGCCGCGTCGTCGACGACACATCATTTAGCGATTGCCCATTGTTTGGTCCCGTCTGGCCTAACGAGGTCGGCGCTCCTTGGCCGCGCCTGTCTGTGTGTGTGCTTTAGTGTGTGTGTGTTTGTGTTTGTGTGTGTTTGCGCGGGTCGCCGTGCCGCGTGTCTGCTGCCAGGGACAAGGAAAGGCGATAAAGGCTGGCAGGCGCTGCCCGGCGCTGCCAGGTGAACGGCGAGGCCCGGAGGCCCGGCCCACGGTCCGCGGACCTCCCCTCCGCCACGCCCGGTCCAGCAGACTGAGTGGGGGCGGTGTCTCCCTCGCACCCACGTCGCGTCCGGGTGCGAGCGAGACAGGCTGGCACACTGTGGCACAGGTGCGCCCCGTCTCGGCCGTCCCGACTCGAGGCACGGACGCCGCTCCCAATGGGGCGGATCCAGTTCAGCGGGGTGAGGGGTGAGGGGGGGGGGTCGCTTTAGCGTCATTACACAGACGTTCGTCCTATTGGCGATCTGATGGCCGCCATCAGCAGCAAGATTACACGTGAACGGAAGGCACGCCACGGTACGCTACGGCACGGCACGGCGCGGCACGGCATAGCACGGCAGCCACCATTTGGCCCGGGCCGCATTCGCATTACCGTCATCCCACTAGCCCAGCGGTTCTCAACCTTTTTCCAAAATACGGCAATCAAAAAACCGTATACGGCAAACAAAAAACAAAAAAAAAAAACTGTATACGGCAAACAAAAAACCGTATGCGGCAAATCAAAAACCGGACGAGGCAGACCAAAAGCCGTATAGGGCAAACAAAAAACCGTATGCGGCAAATCAAAAACCGGACGAGGCAGACCAAAAGCCGTATAGGGCAAACAAAAAACCGTATGCGGCAAATCAAAAACCGGACGAGGCAGACCAAAAGCCGTATACGGCAAACAAAAAACCGTATGCGGCAAATCAAAAACCGGACGAGGCAGACCAAAAGCCGTATACGGCAAACAAAAAACCGTATGCGGCAAATCAAAAACCGGACGAGGCAGACCAAAAGCCGTATAGGGCAAACAAGAAACCGTATGCGGCAAATCAAAAACCGGACGAGGCAGACCAAAAGCCGTATAGGGCAAACAAAAAACCGTATGCGGCAAATCAAAAACCGGACGAGGCAGACCAAAAGCCGTATAGGGCAAACAAAAAACCGTATGCGGCAAATCAAAAACCGGACGAGGCAGACCAAAAGCCGTATAGGGCAAACAAAAAACCGTATGCGGCAAATCAAAAACCGGACGAGGCAGACCAAAAGCCGTATAGGGCAAACAAAAAACCGTATGCGGCAAATCAAAAACCGGACGAGGCAGACCAAAAGCCGTATAGGGCAAACAAAAAACCGTATGCGGCAAATCAAAAACCGGACGAGGCAGACCAAAAGCCGTATAGGGCAAACAAAAAACCGTATGCGGCAAATCAAAAACCGGACGAGGCAGACCAAAAGCCGTATAGGGCAAACAAAAAACCGTATGCGGCAAATCAAAAACCGGACGAGGCAGACCAAAAGCCGTATAGGGCAAACAAAAAACCGTATGCGGCAAATCAAAAACCGGACGAGGCAGACCAAAAGCCGTATAGGGCAAACAAAAAACCGTATGCGGCAAATCAAAAACCGGACGAGGCAGACCAAAAGCCGTATAGGGCAAACAAAAAACCGTATGAAGCAAATCAAAAACTGGACGAGGCAGACCAAAAGCCGTATAGGGCAAACAAAAAACCGTATGCGGCAAATCAAAAACCGGACGAGGCAGACCAAAAGCCGTATACGGCAAACAAAAAACCGTATGCGGCAAATCAAAAACCGGACGAGGCAGACCAAAAGCCGTATAGGGCAAACAAAAAACCGTATGCGGCAAATCAAAAACCGGACGAGGCAGACCAAAAGCCGTATAGGGCAAACAAAAAACCGTATGCGGCAAATCAAAAACCGGACGAGGCAGACCAAAAGCCGTATAGGGCAAACAAAAAACCGTATGCGGCAAATCAAAAACCGGACGAGGCAGACCAAAAGCCGTATAGGGCAAACAAAAAACCGTATGCGGCAAATCAAAAACCGGACGAGGCAGACCAAAAGCCGTATACGGCAAACAAAAAACCGTATGCGGCAAATCAAAAACCGGACGAGGCAGACCAAAAGCCGTATACGGCAAACAAAAAACCGTATGCGGCAAATCAAAAACCGGACGAGGCAGACCAAAAGCCGTATAGGGCAAACAAAAAACCGTATGCGGCAAATCAAAAACCGGACGAGGCAGACCAAAAGCCGTATAGGGCAAACAAAAAACCGTATGCGGCAAATCAAAAACCGGACGAGGCAGACCAAAAGCCGTATGGGGCAAACACAAAACCGTATGCGGCAAATCAAAAACCGGACGAGGCAGACCAAAAGCCGTATAGGGCAAACAAAAAACCGTATGCGGCAAATCAAAAACCGGACGAGGCAGACCAAAAGCCGTATAGGGCAAACAAAAAACCGTATGCGGCAAATCAAAAACCGGACGAGGCAGACCAAAAGCCGTATAGGGCAAACAAAAAACCGTATGCGGCAAATCAAAAACCGGACGAGGCAGACCAAAAGCCGTATACGGCAAACAAGAAACCGTATGCGGCAAATCAAAAACCGGACGAGGCAGACCAAAAGCCGTATAGGGCAAACAAAAAACCGTATGCGGCAAATCAAAAACCGGACGAGGCAGACCAAAAGCCGTATAGGGCAAACAAAAAACCGTATGCGGCAAATCAAAAACCGGACGAGGCAGACCAAAAGCCGTATAGGGCAAACAAAAAACCGTATGCGGCAAATCAAAAACCGGACGAGGCAGACCAAAAGCCGTATAGGGCAAACAAAAAACCGTATGCGGCAAATCAAAAACCGGACGAGGCAGACCAAAAGCCGTATAGGGCAAACAAAAAACCGTATGCGGCAAATCAAAAACCGGACGAGGCAGACCAAAAGCCGTATAGGGCAAACAAAAAACCGTATGCGGCAAATCAAAAACCGGACGAGGCAGACCAAAAGCCGTATAGGGCAAACAAAAAACCGTATGCGGCAAATCAAAAACCGGACGAGGCAGACCAAAAGCCGTATAGGGCAAACAAAAAACCGTATGCGGCAAATCAAAAACCGGACGAGGCAGACCAAAAGCCGTATAGGGCAAACAAAAAACCGTATGCGGCAAATCAAAAACCGGACGAGGCAGACCAAAAGCCGTATAGGGCAAACAAAAAACCGTATGCGGCAAATCAAAAACCGGACGAGGCAGACCAAAAGCCGTATACGGCAAACAAAAAACCGTATGCGGTAAATCAAAAACCGGACGAGGCAGACCAAAAGCCGTATAGGGCAAACAAAAAACCGTATGCGGCAAATCAAAAACCGGACGAGGCAGACCAAAAGCCGTATAGGGCAAACAAAAAACCGTATGCGGCAAATCAAAAACCGGACGAGGCAGACCAAAAGCCGTATAGGGCAAACAAAAAACCGTATGCGGCAAATCAAAAACCGTATACGGCAAACTAAAAACCGTATACGGCAAATCAAAAACCGTATACGGCAAAGTGACAAGCCGTCGTGGCGGGGCCGCATGTTTAGAACATAATGCTGCTCTCGGCTGCTCTGCTCTGAACTAGAGTGTGTGCGTGTGATTGGTCCTGCAGTACCCCCTCCGCCTCCCCTTCCCAGCCCCCGGCAGCATGGTGGCCGCGCGGCGGCCTGGTGAAAAGGAACAACAGTTTCACAACTCGGCGGCCGGATCCCGCGGCCCCAAATTGGTTCCACGCCGCGCCAGCACGCCGGTCCCG